TCACGCCCATACCCGCCAGGGGAGGCCAGGCACGCCCACACCCGCCAGGGGAGGCCAGGCACGCCCTAGCAGCCTAGCTCACGCCCACACCCGCCAGGGGAGGCCAGGCACGCCCTAGCAGCCTAGCTCACGCCCACACCCGCCAGAGCAGGCCAGACACGCCCTAGCAGCCTAGCTCACGCCCACACCCGCCAGGGGAGGCCAGGCACGCCCTAGCAGCCTAGCTCACGCCCACACTCCGTGCTCCTGGTCTCTGGCTCCGGCCACAATGTGGACGCTTTAGTCTCAGCTGTCCCGTAGTCCGCCCATTGTGTAGGTCACGGAGGTGTAGGTCACATAATGTGTCTCACGCCCAGCCGGTGGGCATCCCGGGGTACACAGGTGAAGAGGTACACAGGTGAGGAGGTACACAGGTGAGGAGAGGTACACAGGTGAAGGGGTACACAGGAAGTGTACGTCTTCAAAAGCGTACCAACCTTAGACAATGGAAGCCTAGCATCTGTGGGATGAAATATCTAGAGCATCTAGGTCACACAGTGTCTGTTATAGGTGACTTTAAGTTTTGTGGAATAAACTGGTTTAACAAAACAGGGAATACTGAAGCAGATTTTGTTAGAATTAGTTGATGATTGCTTTCTAAAGCAATAGTTGCCTATTTAACACTTTAAGGAGCCAACGCGGGTAATATTTTGGATTTAGAGATTTAATATTTTTAATAATAATTTTAATTCATTGAGTTGGGGGACAGGCAGCCAGTTGATACATATAGTACAAGTTAGGATTATATTGAGGATTAATAAATCTTCAAGTTTATAAAACTGTTGGCATTCTTTCTAAGATCAGATATTATGTACCTCGCCCTGCCCTGGTGACGCTCCATTACTCCCTCATCTATCCTTATCTTAACTATGGTATTTGTGCTTGGGGTTCTACTACCCAAAATCATTTACGTCCTCTAATTACTCAACACAAAGCTGCTATTAGGACAATATCCAACTCTGGCCTCAGACAGCACTCGGTACCCTTACTTAAATCTTTGAATACGTTAGATATTAAGTCACTGCACATCCTCTCATGTGTACTCTATATATTTAAAACTCCGAACTGTAATGTCAATCCTGACCTTAAAAGCTTCCTAGAAGGTTGCAACAGAACCCATGGGCACCACACCAGAAAGCACCACCTATTGGATATTTCAAGAGTGCGCCTTAACCAAACCTCACCATTTGGTCACCACTTGGTCCGGGAGACATCTCCCGTCACGCAGGGTGCAGTTGCGCCTCCACAGATCTCCAGTATCATCTTTTGATACTGGTAATGACTCGAAAGGGCCACCACTTACGGGCTATTCATGCCCGTGCCACCTCTTGGGTGGCTTAATCTTCATCAATCATCAATCACCAAACTAGAAATGCTCTACAAATCAAGAGAAACCCAAACGTGGAATGACCTTCCCAATCATGACAAAGGCTGTACCTCTCTCAACCAGTTGAGGAGAAAAACTAAGTACTACCTAATTAACTCCATGTAATCTACCTGACCCCTTAAATGTCAAGCCATGTCTTGCTGTTTTCTAACAATACTGTTTGTTGAAAAACTTGTCTAACAGCTGATTTCTGCCATGTCTCCCCCCCCCCCCGCCCTTTTTATATTTTTCAAGTCAATTTATGCTTTGATCTCAATTAGTATTAAGTTTTAATCAAAGTGTTTTTTCTTCACACCTTGCCCGAAACGCTGTGCGTATTAGTGGCATTAGGTATTATGTGTACTAGCGTTATCTAAAAATCCAACATTAAGTTTGTAACTCATCTTGTATGTACTTTTACCTGAATAAACATTTGATTTGATTTGAATTTGATTTGATTTAATTTTATCTCCACAACCTCCCGCCCTATTAATAAGCTCCCACAGCTTGTAAAGTGCCCCGATGGCGCGCGTCTCAAATAGCCTCTGACAACCAAGTCCAGCTCCTGGCCTGCACGTGTGGCTTAGCCTCTAGGCCCGGCGGAACTTCTATTAACAGGAGAAGGGGCGAAAGCGAGCCTCTGGCGCCTTAAAACCAATTGCTTCGGGCAGATAGAACTCGTCAGCCTGGGAAGGCAGCTCATTTAGGGGAAGGAAAATCTCGAATTCAAATTTTCACTGTCATGCGGCTTAACCCGCTCTTGGGAAAGACTTCGGGAGTCACCCTAGAGGAAAAATCCGAAGTCAGAGTCCCTAAGACGGTTTGCAGCTGTTTACAGCTACATTCCGGCAACTCCTGCGACGACACTGGTGCCAAGCGTATCTGCGCCTGCCCTTCCCTTGGATCACATCGGTGGCGTGGAGAGGGTGGATCTGCTGCATGGGTAACAGCCGGTTCTCCATAACTACTGTCCAGCCCTGTGCCCTGGAGAGGAAACTCCAGGCTCAACACGGGAAGTGACAGTTACCGGTGATAAGCCTACCACTCAATTGGCGTAGAGTGAGGCGCCAGGGGTTGCTTTCGTCGGTGGGAGAAATCATTCGATTTCATCGGACAGCTACCACCCGCCTCAAGCTGGACAGCCCCCAGCCAATAAGGTGCTGTCCCGCCACGGTCCGCATGCTCCACTGGGTGTGTGGGGCTTAAGCCACAATCCAACAAGCGGATCGTCAACCCATTCACCAGGCAAAAGAAAACAAACACAGAGCCACCCAGCTCTCAAACTGGGCACATGGAATGTAAGGACCATGACACCGAGTCTCTGGGAAGATCTACTGGAAGTGAACGACGCCCGCAAGACAGCTGTGATCAACAATGAACTACGCAGTCTCCAGATGGACATAGTCGCCCTGCAGGAGACACGTCTGCCCGCAACCGGCAGCATACAGGAGAAGGACTTTACCTTCTTCTGGCAGGGCAAACCACCAGAAGAGGTAAGGGAGCATGGCGTTGGCTTTGCCATCAGGAACTGGTTGTTAGGGTCCATAGTACTGCCCACGGAGGGGTCTGCAAGGACCATCACTCTTCAGCTTCATACAGCAGTAGGAATGGTCAGCCTCATGAATGCCTATGCACCAACACTGACCTCTACCGAAGCGAAGGACAAGTTCTATGATGACCTCGGCCTAACTCTCAGAGACATGCCTCAACAAGAGCCAGTCTTCCTCCTGGGAGACTTTAATGCAAGAGTTGGTTCTGATCACAGCTCTTGGCCTTCCTGCCTGGGCCAGTTTGGATTTGGGAAGATGAATGAGAGTGGGCAGCGCCTCCTGGAGTTCTGCTGCCGTCATGATCTCTGCATCACCAATTCCTTCTTCGACACCAAGTCCCAGCACAAAGTTTCCTGGAGACACCCCAGATCTAAACATTGGCACCAACTCGACCTGGTGCTTACGGGGCGTAGCGGTCTGAGAAGCGTCAAACTGACCCGCAGCTTCCAGAGCGCAGATTGTGACACCGACCACTCTCTTGTAGTTTGAAAAATAAAGTTCCAACTCCAGAAAATCCACAGAGCAAATTCAAATTCAGGACGCAATGTCAAACTGACTGCACATCAAGGCACAAGTCTAAATGGCATGTGTGGTGAGTACACTTCTTTACGGCTAGAACCTTGGACCCTGCGCTCTCGCCAGAAGAGACGGCTCAACACCTTCCGTTAGAAGGTGTTGAGCCGCTCTCTGTGTTAGATAATGTTCCAGTGGTCTGTTGTGGCTGTAACTGTGCACTGTGTTAGATAATGTTCCGGTGGTCTGTCGGGCATTTCTCCACAGTGTTGACATTTCCTCTCATCTTCCGGAACCTGTAAGCCTATTTCCCATGCACATGGGTATCCAAGCCTGATGTGATATAAGTGTACTTCTATTGTTCTACTGCTCCCTTTCATCAAACTAAGTGGTTCGTAGTTGGTTGAATTCTTATACCAACCGGCAGATCCTGATGTTGCAACTGCTGTGTTGTGGTCACTGTACATCTTCTGCATTGCTCTGTTTTAGGGGATATTGATCCAGACAACTTCTTCAAAAGGTCAGATGTAACGCGAACTAAAAGCAACGGTTTTAAACTCAACCAGCAAAATTAATGTAAGACAGAAAACAGGAGATGTTTTTTTCACCCATAATAATTTATAAGGGTGTAAACTCATGGAACCGCCTACCCACGGAAGTCTCAAATGCCAAAGCACTGATGGCTTTGGAAATCCATCTACACAATGCTGGAACCTTCGATAAGCTTTTAGCTTCCTGTCCTCGTCGAGGCCACTAGAGATATAGTGGCCCCTCAGGTAAACTCAGGTAACTTTAGCTCTACTCTATCTGTCGATAGATCGATTAATTTCAACTTAATTTAGATAAGTATAATCGATGAGGTAATTAGAAATGTGCTATAATCTAATCTACGTAGCCTAACTTTCCATATGTAAAGGGATAATCGATTGACGCCGTAATTTCTAGTAAAGTGCAGGTAACAGCTAGAAATATACAGTATGTGCAAGCATGCTTCATGCGGCAATCATGGGCACACGTGCTTCTGCAGCTAGATTTAATATGAACAGTTTGAGTCGCTTGCAACTTATCATACCAAGGAGGCAATGCATTGTTGATACTTCTTGTTATAACGTTTTTATTCATTAAAGAGATGATATCAAAAGTGACAGACTCATGATCTAAATATATCTGTAATATTAAAATATTAAATATAATCAAACTTTTACTCGTTTTCCGTTAAGGTATGCATTATCTACTATTTTAAGATATTAAGGGTCACAAGTGGCTTGTTTATTTAAGAATAACATTTGTACTTCTCTACCTTTTTTATCCGGACATTTTGTAACTGTATCTGCAACGTCGTGGAAGAACCTTTATAGAGAACTTCCTTCATTAGTTCCTTGCTCCCATGCACATGAAACGAGTCTCCCAAAATTCGCTCATCGACCAATGAGAATTCCAGTCATTGGCAGAATATACCAGAAAGGCTCCGCGACAACCAATCAACGTAAAGAAATTTGAATGTAACCATCAATATGATTGGCCGAACTTGACGGCCACAGCAAATGGTATTCTTAGATTCATAGCAAGTGGGAGATATGAAAACATAAACATGCCTCAGTATGACGATATGGATGAACAAATTTGAAAATAACATGCAACAGGTTAACAAGAATGAGCAAAAAGAACGAGATTGGAGGTTCAATCGAGGTAGAGTAAAGTTGGAGTTGATAGGTGTAACTGTAACTAGACTGAGGAGGTAAGGAACTGTGTAAGCTTGTAAGGAAACTTTCAATTAGACTAGTGACTGAGGATCTACAAGATGCTAAATATGCTCTTTTTATGACTTTAAGGGCGAGATTTGGTTAATTAAGTTACATGATCATTGTTTGTTGTTTTTAACACGGGTATTTTTTGTATTTGATGTTGGGAATTGACTTGGGCCTGGCATTGTTCTGGATAGATCGTTCTGGCTTGTTGTTAGTTGTATGTGAATACTGTAGATATATTCCGTGTATTGTATCTTTGAAAAGTGGACCAGATTATAGAATTTTGAAGCACCTTTCCAGTAATCTATAATTACAAGCTTAAGCGCAACTGTTCTATTTAGGTACAGGCCTCTTAAGTATGGCCCAAATGACATGTTGGCCTACAAGCAATAGACCTTGTCAGTAGTGGCATCACCTTACTGGCAATCTTCCTGTTATGCTTTATTTTTGCTTAAATACATTGTTACATAACTTTCAATTATGTTACATTATATCTGAATATAGTAGTAGATCCACCAGCACACTACCCCATGGACGTGTTTCTAAATTATGCAGTATTCCAATGACTGAGTAGGGTACAGAAGCAGTCAAAAGTTATGTCATTCTACATTATCACTGCTGTTTGTTGTTGTTTTAGATTCAGCTACTGGGAACAAAAAGTTGCAAGTAGCACGGGCTATGGTGAGCCCGTAGTGGACTCACCTGGCACAGCAGTGGAGCTGTAACTCGCTATCACCACTCGCTATAAACAAACCTAACCTAACCTAAAGTAAAATATCAATTTTTTTTTTATACATTATTTATGTGAGGTGTGTGATGTCACTGTGACGTTATCGGCTTGCCTCTGGGGGGATAATTTTGGATACTACTTCATAAGACTATAGTTTAGGCAAGAGTTCTCTAGGTTCACATATACTTTTCTGTCATTTATATACTGTATAGCACAAAGAAATTCTTTATTAAAAATATACAAAATCTATATACATATGAAGTGTCTTCGTGACTCGTGCGCCATCACATATGTACAATTATCTGCTATTGATTTCTGACATCTTTTACACTTTACTCAACACAAAGAATACTGCACATTTAGATACAGGCTCTTATTAAGATCTTGGATCCTTTGGGGTCCCGATAGTACAGTCGGGGTTCCTTCTCAACGTACAGTTGAGAATTCCTGGTTCATATCCCGGGTGGGACAGAAAAGGTTAGGCACATTTCCTTTCACCTAATGGGTCTGTTCACCTAGCAGTAAGTAGGTACTCAGGAGTTAGTTAGCTTGTTGTTGGGTTGCATCCTGGGCGGGGTCCGTAATTCGACCTGGGGGGGTGGGGGGAAAGGAGCTCGATATAAGCCTACCGTGTATGAATACACTGTGGCTTCCTGTCCCCCAGTGACGATGAATTAAGATGCTGTGCTATTTGTTAGGTGTGATATCATGACCAAAGTTAGGCATCAGGTGTTGTGCAAGATCTCATGTTATGCATTATCAGCTAAATTAGCTTCAACATGTCTTGGTTTCTGGGTCGTGACTTCTAATTTCATATATTTTTTGTAGCTCAAATATGTAGGGAGGTAATAAAAATCATGCTGGTATTTAGTATGGGAAGAACACTTGCTTCAAATTGCTTTAATTTAAAAACAATGGCTATTTAATATGATATTGTCAGTAGCTTAGCACAAATATCTTAAGCAGATCAATAAACCTGAGGAATATTTAATAAGCACAATATAGCAATAGCCAATTCATAGACATTCATTCATTATAAATTTCACAAAGTTTACAAAATAGTCCACTGAATGGAGCTTTATAACATTTGCTAAATATTTGTATGAGAAAATTATCTGATTTAACATGATAAAAAAGTGATAAGGTGTTTACTCTTAATTAACTTAAGAAATCATAATCATGTGAAGCTTAAATTTAATGAGGTAGTAGCTTTAAAATTATTTTAATATGTACTGTATTAATTAATTTTCACTTATTGTACTTGCTTATTCATAAACAGAGCATAGCAAATGTTTATGATGAATAGTAACAGTTCCTTGATTAAAACAATTAACCTAACACCTAAAAGATGCAATTGTGAAGTCTAAGATGGATTTAAGAATTGTTATCTTTTCTTAAATCCCCTAGTATGTGGATTATAAATGTTGTCTTTGCTATTGCATTTTGATTATGTTGTATTTAAAATTTTTCAGGAATACGATGTAGGGGAACAGCTGGGAAGGGGTGGCTTTGCCACTGTGTACTCTGCTAAGTGCCGCAACACTGGACAAAATGTAGCCATCAAGAAGGTGAAGAATTGGTTTGTGCTAGTATTTAACCCCTGCACTGCGCACCTGTTTTTGGCAAAAACTTCATGGTGTAATTGTTAAGGACATATTTTTCTTGTCTTAATAAATGTTCAGGTAAAGTTAATGTCTAAATGTCTCCAAACTCAACTATTTTTGTTTCAAAACACAAAGAGCAATGAAAACATAGAAAAACATTAAAATATAGCCTAATTAAAAAAAAAAGCACAACTCTCAGAATGACTTTTGTTGGCTAGCGCAGTTAAGGGGTTAAATTTTGCAATTAATTTTTACAAAATTGGCTATAATAGTCAATGTTACTCAGCCAATAATACAGTAAAAGGCAATAAGTAAAATCAAATCATATAATATTAAACAGATAAATATTGAAGACTTAGAAATCAAAGTAATTAAGTGAGGTATAATACTGTACAGTAGTTTGTTTCATAGAATTGCTGTGGAATAGTAAAAATGGTATAACATAGTTTTCTAAGAATAATAAAAACAAAATTTCAGCATATGTATTCATCAGCAAAAAATATAAAGGCTACGAAGAAAACGCCTTTTGATGTTTTTTCCATTATGTCGAGCATACAATACCTTATTTATCACCGTATTAATAATTAGTTTGTTTATATATAATAATGTAGTTATCATTGTGTATTTTGAAGAATATTGTTGGCTGATGAACAGTGACTTTCTGCTATGTGAGAAAAAGTGCCATTGGGACTGGGTGCATATCACTTCATCATTTACAATCAGATCATATTAAATTTTTAATCATTTATATTTTCAGATTAACAAGAGTGAGATCACGGCAGGTGGTCTCATTAGCCGAGTGCGTCAGGAAGTTACTATTCACTCACAGCTCAACCACCCATCTATACTCAAGCTTTATACATTCTTTGAGGATCAGCAGTTTGTTTATCTTGTCTTAGAACTTTGCACTAAAGGGGAATTGCTGAAGCATTTAACAAATCTCAGAAGAGTTCTTACTGAAGATGAAGGTTTGATAATATGTTTTAAATTAGTACTGTATTTAGACTACCATATATATATATATATATATATATATATATATATATATATATATATATATATATATATATATATATATATATATATATATATATTTATATTATATATATATATTTATATTTTATATATATTATTTATATTTTATTATATATTATATATATATATATATATATATATATATATATATATATATATATATATATATATATATATATATATATATATATATATATATATATATATATATATATATATATATATATATATATATATATAACATATATATACATATATATATATATATATATATATATATATATATGTATATATATGTTATATATATATATATATATATATATATATATATATATATATATATATATATATATATATATATATATATATATATATATATATATATATATATATATATAATATATAATAAAATATAAATAATATATATAAAATATAAATATATATATATAATATAAATATATATATATAATATAAATATATATATATATATATATATATATATATAAAATATATATATATATATATATATATATATATATATATATATATATATATATATATATATATATATATATATATATATATATATATATATATATATATATATATATATATATATATATATATATATATATATATATATATATATATATATATATATATATGTATGTATATAAATATATATATTTATATATAAATATATAAATTATATATAAATTATATATATATAAATTATATATATAATTATATATATATATATATATATATATATATATATATATATATATATATATATATATATATATATATAATTTATATATATATATATTGTTCTTATATGTTGTCATCTGGCAAATGCAGTATATTTATGAAAAAGTGTCATAATAGAGCAGAAATATAACTTACATGAAAATATGATAACATCCCACACTTATGTATTTGTGAGATTTATGTAAAGATTGGGCAAGGGGCAGCTCCACTTGTGTCTACCACAAGGGGCAGCTCCACTTGTGTCTACCACAAGGGCAGCTCCACTTGTGTCTACCACAAGGGGCAGCTCCACTTGTGTCTACCACAAGGGGCAGCTCCACTTGTGTCTACCACAAGGGCAGCTCCACTTGTGTCTACCACAAGGGGCAGCTCCACTTGTGTCTACCACAAGGGCAGCTCCACTTGTGTCTACCACAAGGGCAGCTCCACTTGTGTCAACCACATTTACACCAAGTCTTTCACATACTTCTGAGTGCCCAACCACTTGAGCTGGACGGTAGAGCGACGGTCTTGCTTCATGCAGGTTGGCGTACAGTCCCCGACCGTCCAAGTGGTTGGGTACCATTCCTTCCTCCCGTCCCATCACAAATCCTTATCCTGACCCTTCCAAGTGCTATATAATCGTAATGGCTTGGTACTTTTCCCCTGATAATTCTCTTTCCTCTCCTGAGTGCTTTGTCAAGGTCAGGTCTCTTATCAAGGGACAGGTCAAGGTGGAGGGTCAGGTCCGAAATCTGCACAGTAAAATGACAATGTACTGGAGTGAACGATATGGAAGAAAATGCAGAATAGAACCAGTGAAGAACAGGGGTCCCATAGGCACAATTAGAGAACACTGTATAAACATGAGAGGTCCACGGTTGTTCAACATCCTCCCAGCGAGCATAAGAAATATTGCCGGAACAACTGTGGACATCTTCAAGAGGAAACTAGTTTGTTTCCTCCAAGGAGTGCCGGACCAACTGAGCTGTGGTGGGTATGTGGGCCTGCGGGCCGCTCCAAGCAACAGCCTGGTGGACCAAACTCTCACAAGTCAAGCCTGGCCTCGGGCCGGGCTTGGGGAATAGAAGAACTCCCAGAACCCCATCAAGCAGGACAGGTCTGAGTATGTGGTTAGGATGAGACTTACATCTCAATGACTAATGAATTAGTCGTTGAGATGTAAGTCTCGTCCTAACCATGTACTCATACCTTGACAAAGCACTCAGTAGAGTGTGAAAGACTTGCTGTAAATGTTTACATAAATTTCACAAATACTGTACATAAGTGTTGGCTGTTATTGTTATTGTGTCTGTGCGAAGACATTTCCATTACTTACATAAAAGTTTTATCTAAAAAAAATATAAATTTCTTTTCATGAATAGCACGGGAATACCTGAGTCAGATTGTTGCAGGAATGCTTTATCTTCACTCCCAGTCTATTATGCATCGTGATCTTACTCTATCAAATATCCTTCTTGACAATAATGGAAGAATAAAAATAGCAGACTTTGGTCTTGCAACACAACTTAGACGTCCTGATGACAGACACACAACCATGTGTGGCACTCCTAATTACATCAGGTAGGTATTTTATGAAGTCCATCCTTCCTTTGTATGTATTTTGTTGGCAGTGTGTACAGTGGCCACGGGCTCACCATAGCCCGTGTTACCTGGAACTTTTTGTTTCAGGTAGCGAATCTTTAACAATAACAACAACCCTCAATAATACAGATCTTGATACCTTCTGGTTCCGATGATGCAAAAAATGCATCATTGGTATGTACCTCGACAGTAAACATTCCAATGTCGCTAAAATGCATCATCTGATTGCTATTTACAAACTTTTGTATATTGCTGTCACACATAATCTGTTATTAATATACTTTTGTTTCTGTATTTATTCTCTAGAGAATTCATTTGCAAACATTGACATCAAATTTGTACTTATAACTGAACAAATAACTGAGAAAACTTGAAATGATTGTAAAAATATTTTGCATCACTGAGTGGTTTGTGAGCAACCCGGGAAACCTAGAATATTTATGGTTGGGAATGTGCAGAGAGGCTGGACCGCCAAAGTGTTAATATATTGGAAACCTTAAAAAAATCAGGAAAGATTTTGCTATCTGAATATTACAGTGTTTGAAAGTTCTGATTGTGGATCTGAACTTTGAAATATAGTACAATGTGTGTGTGTGGAAAAATCCGGACTTTGCATTGTTAATAGTACATTCAGGTCACATTTTCTCTAAAATTTTATTATTCATTTGTCATTAATGATGCAAAATGTTTTTCAGGGGGAGCTTGAATGTTTTTAGATATTTCTAGGAGTCAAAGTAGGAAGTTTACTTTGGTTGTGTTGTGGGAGCAAAGCAGATTTTGACAAAAGTTTCATCCCATGTATTCAAGAAGTCATCCAATGCCTAATGTTATCTCAATGTGCTGCAGGTGGTCACAACCACAAGCTAGGGGTATATTATTACACTTAATTACACATTTTGTTTGTATCCTAATTAATGACTAATCTCAACTGATTAGCTGCCAATAAAACACACCTAATTGTAAAGTAATAGAATACTGTACATTGATTACTGCTAATATTATATTATTTCCTGCAAATGCATTTATTTATAATTATGTAATTTTGTAATATTGCAGTCCTGAAGTGGTGACGCGCAGTTCCCATGGCCTTGAGTCAGATGTGTGGAGTTTGGGATGCATGCTGTTCATCATGCTTGTTGGCCATCCTCCATTTGACTCCAAAGGTGTGAAGGAGTCTATATTTACCAAGGTTGTCATAGGTGATTATAAGGTACGTATGTGACGTTTCATTTAGCTTTATTTTTCAATATTTTGAATGTCTTTTATTAATGTACAGTAGCTTGGTGTACTGTATATAAAAGCTCTTTAAAAGGTTTCATGCTGGGCACATGTTGTCTTTCTTTGGTGACTTTTGAGTACCCATCCACCTGGCATTCTTTCCACTTTTGTTTCTCTCTACAGCTCTTACTGTTATATAACTTCAAGTAGAGGATAATGTGGCTGAAGAGTTTATAGGTATATATACATGTATATATACAGTATGTCCAACCCACAACTGAAAATAAAGAAATGACTGCGACATTTTGGTTCGTTTCTTCATTATCAGTTGTGGGTTGGATATTAACTACGAGTATTTGTCAAGCTTGTTGAACTACTTTCTGTGGAGAGCCCCTCTGGCTCCCCGGAGCTTACCGGGCTGATATGCATGTATTAGACTGTGGCAGCAGTCCTTCGAATGGAGTTCTAATGCCTACCAGGGACCACGATATCCCTCGTGCCCCTCAGAGAGGCACGAGGAGCAATGACTTATGAAACCCCCCTGTGGTTGGAAGCATTTTATTTCTGCCATCGACCGAGTTAGGCACCCAGAAAGGTAGGCGTCCCAAAACAGACCCCAACTGGTGACACATTGCTACTGAAAGCTGAACTGCTAAGCAGAACTCCCCAATCTGAGAAAACAAGTAAACAAGCATGACGTCACACCCGCCACCTGTCTGTCCCCCCTTCCCCTCCTGAGGAGGGGGAAGGGGGGCTCTAGACCCCCGCGCTGGCTATCCAACCTCGGTTCTAAGACTGTTGTGCTTGGTGGGGGACATTCGACTCTGCCTCAAGACTAGGTGCAGTTCTGTACCTTTAAGGTGTTGTGGTGTGCGAACCTGGAGTAATTCATGAAGTACTGGGGCTGCATGTGCCTAGGGCTCCCTTCCCTAGGTGCTCTGTAAGTACTGCCCTTCTGGTTTAGGGTTCTCTTCCATAAGCCGTTCAGGAGCTACCTCCGTAGGGATCTATTGCTGCTTAGTGAATGCGCGCCCTTGGGGTCAGCTGGGGTTTTCATAGCCGCTGTTTGACCTTGGGTAGAAGTTAGTATCGTCGTTGGTAGGGCGGCAAGGTATTGTGCAGTTTGTCTGACGTTCATACACAGCAATACACATCGATACACAGTTCTGTTTCTCTTGGGGATGTTGTGCTTTTGTGGTTTTTTTCTGTTTTCTTTTTGTTTCTTGCCAAGGGGGGGGGGGGTCTGCACCTTGGTTATTATCTACCCTCTGTTCTTTTGGTGGTTCCCCGCTAGGTTCCTCGCTAGGTCCCCCGCTAGGTTCCTCGCTAGGTTCCCCGCTAGGTCCCCCGCTAGGTTCCCCGCTAGGTCCCCCGCTAGGTCCCCCGCTAGGTCCCCCGCTAGGTCCCCTGCTAGGTCCTCGTGATTTTACATGTCACAGGTGTTCAGCTTTAGTTGTTCTATTGTTAGTTTGGGCCAACCAGTTAGCAGTACCTTGCCTAGGCTTTCCTTAGCAGTCAGCCAAAGGGTCCTAGAAAACCCCATTGGGGCTCATTGGTTTGATGGATGCGTCCTCTGGGTCCCATCTCGCCTTGTGCGAGTTTGAGGGTTGCTCCTTTCCCTTGTCTCGAGGTGACATTCATCATTTTTGCCTCCATAATGCTGCCTGTTGAGTCGTTGACACTTTTGACCCAGAGTCCTTCTTGCAAGTACTCACCTATTTGTGCTTGCGGGGGTTGAGCTCTGGCTCTTTGGTCCCACCTCTCAACTGTTAATCAACTGGTGTACAGGTTCCTGAGCCTATTGGGCTCTATCATATCTACACTTGAAACTGTGTATGGAGTCACCCTCCACCACATCACTGCCTAATGCATTCCATTTGTCAACCACTCTGACATTAAAAAAATTCTTTCTAATATCTCTGTGGCTCATTTGGGCACTCAGTTTTCACCTGTGTCCCCTAGTGCGTGTGCCCCTTGTGTTAAATAGCCCGTCTTTATCTACCCTGTCAATTCCTCTGAGAATCTTGTACGTGGTGATCATATCCCCCCTAACTCTTCTGTCTTCTAGCGACGTGAGGTTTAATTCCCGTAGTCTCTCCTCGTAGCTCATACCTCTCAGCCCAGGTACTAGTCTGGTGGCAAACCTTTGAACTTTTTCCAATTTGGTCTTATGCTTGACTAGATATGGACTCCATGCTGGGGCTGCATACTCCAGGATTGGTCTGACATAGGTGGTATACAAAGTTCTGAATGATTCCTTGCACAAGTGTTTAAATGCCGTTCTTATGTTAGCCAACCTGGCATATGCTGCTGATGTTATCCTCTTGATATGGGCTTCAGGGGACAGGTCTGGGGGTGATATCAACCCCCAGGTCTTCTCTCTGACTCGTGTAGAATTTCATCTTCCAAATGATACCTTGTAACTGGCCTCCTGCTCCCTACACCTATCTTCATTACATTACATTTGCTTGGGTTAAACTCTAACAACCATTTGTTCGACCATTCCTTTAGTTTGTCTAGGTTCGATGCAGTCCTTGGCTCTTTGGGGCTGGTCGCTTTGGGTGACTCGTCTGCTGAGTTCTCGGGGGTTTAGTTCTCTTGGCGTTTCACATCCAGGGGGTTTGCAACATCCTGGCATACGGCCGGTCCCAGTTCATTCCCTTTTCCATGGAATGGATGGTTGACACTGACTCCTTCAATTGGCCCTCCCAGATGCACGGGCGCCCGGAAGTGGACCTCTTCGCGGCGGTGTGGTCGAGGCGTCTCCCGGTATATGCGGCGCCCTTCCCCAACTGTGAGGCCATCGGAATTGATGCTTTTCGGCAAGACTGGTAGAGGTAGGGTTACCTATACCTCTTACCACCGGCTCAGCTGTTGCTTCGGGTGTGTGTGTGTTGTGTGATTTTCAAGGGCAGTCAGCCGTAGTGTCCTCAAATTCTTGTGTGATGATTCACATTGTATATTAATCTTGGCATAGTGAACATAAAGTTTAACGGTTTGAATTATGACATCCATATGAGTGAAGATCTAATGTTAAATATATATACAGTGGTTCCTCGGATACCCCTCTTTACGAACTTTTCGGGATATGAGCCCGACTTCTTCGGAAAATTTGAATCGGGTTACAAACTCTACCTCGCAATACGAGTTTGTTGATACGCGTATGGCCCACCTAGCGCATGGTGGCACGGCGATTGCGTCTCAGTTTACCAGTGCCTCCCGCCTGAATTCTTTGCAAGGATTTACAGTTTTTTCGGATTTTTTGCTATTTGAACATAAAATTTGTTATTATATATCTCGTCATGGGTCCCAAGAAAGCCAATGCTAAAGTTCAAGGCAAGAAAACACATATGAGAATGACCATAGAGGAAAAACAAGAGATCATTCGTAAACATGAAAATGGTACACAGGAAATGGTAATTGTTGAACTAGCTAGTCAGTACAACAAATCTTCAGGGAAGGAGGAGGAGGAGGCAGTAGAGGATGTCCCTTATTTATTAAGAAAATGTGTGCAGTATGGGAAGAACTGCAAAGTTTTGTTGAAAAGAATCACCCAGATAAAGCTGTAGCAGGCTGTTGTATTGATCTTATTAATGACAATGTGATGTCTCACTACAGACAAGTGTTACAAAGAAGGGAAAAACTTATCTTCAATGGAATGATATGTAGTGAGTGCACGTGAGGTCTGGGGCTCCCCTCTTCCCCTCCCAGGAAGGGGGAAGCTGTGCAGACAGCGGCGTGGTGACTGTGGTGTTGTCATGCTTGTTTGCTTGTTTTCTGATTGGGTAGTTCTGCTTGCTCGTTCGACTTTTGTTTTGCAATTTCTAACTAGCTGTAATTTGTTTTGGGGTTCCTACCTTTCTGAGTGCCTGACCTGGTAGATGGCAGACATAGACTGTTTCCAACTACATGGGGGTGTCTATAGGCCATTGTTCCTTGTGCCTCTCTGAGGGGGCCAGGTTCTGGCTCGTGGTCCCTGGTAGGCTAGAACTCCATCGATTGATTGTTGCCACGGTCTAATACAGTGGTACCTTGGAATACGAGTGTCCCTGAATACGAGTTTTTCGGAATACGAGCAGTATTTGCTCAGAAAATGTGCCTCTGAAGGCGAGTTTGTTGATACGCGTACAGGCCGACGTAGTGCGTGGTACGGCGATCGTCGCCCCTCACTCCTCAGTTTACCAGTGTCTCGCGCCCAGTGACTATCCCACGTCAATTCTTCACCGGATTTTCAATGTTTTGTTGGATTTTTGGTCATTTGACCATAGAAGTTTGTTATTATATATGTCGCCATGGGTCCCAAGAAAGCCAGTGGTAAGGTTTAACCTAAGAAAATAGTGCGGCGTTTCGGGCGATCGAGTGGCAACACTGAAAAGTGTATACTTTTTTCACTGTCCTGACATTAATTTTCGATGTATGTACTTAGTTTATAGAAATATTTTTTCTCGTGACTCGTGAGCGAGTCTGCTGTGCGACCTCAACACAAAAAGTGGTAACGCTCTCGAGCGCCGTGACAATGCTAAAGTGTTAAGAAAATGTGTGAAGTATGGGAAGAATTGCAAAGTTTTGTTGAAAAAACTCACCCAGATAAAGCTGTAGCAGGCCGTTGCATTGACCTTTTAAATGACAATGTGATATCTTACTACAGACATGTGTTAAAATGTAGGGAAAAACAAGTGTCTTTAGACAGATTCTTAGTAAGACAAGCAAGTCTTAGTGGTATGCAGGCAAAACGTGCCAGTGTGTGCACACCAGTGAAGACCTTACTGCCTGATGTTATAATGGAAGGGGACTCCCCTTCCAAACAGTAACACCTCTTCTCCTCCCTCCTCCTCACCATCTTCCATATGCCAACAGCAATCATCAGCAAGGGTAAGTAATAACTTGAACATAGTTTTGTAGGTTTATTTAGATGAATTAGGTATAAAATTTAGTTTGAAGTGGGGTTTTTGGGTTAGTCAGGAACGGATTAATTCATTTCCCATTATTTCTTATGGGGAAATTAGCTTCAGAATACGAGCTATCTCCAGGAACGGATTAAACTCTTAAACCGAGGTACCACTGTATATGCACATCATCCTGGTATAGCTCCGGGGAGCCTCCGAGTCTCACCCAGAAAATGGCGTTTCATTACATTTAATGCTGGGTTTTTCATGGCACGTGGTTAAATATTAATTATACCCGAGAATGGCCATTATTATTCTGTCGACTGTTGCTAACCATTGGAGCAAAAAACTAAAGTCTGGCTCTTAATTTGCTTTTCATCTATATCATAGGGGTCTTTTTTTTATGTTTATTTCTTGTTATTTATTTTGTATACCCCTTGATTAAGATAACTGAATAATTGTAATTATATATTTAGGTACCAAGTTATGTCTCGACTTACGCTTGCACCTTGATATCAGAGTGCCTTCAGAAGAACCCAAAAGAGCGGATCAAGCTTGAAGCAATTCCTTATCATCCTTTCATGACTGTAGGAAGTAAAGTTGATGTTTCAAGGCTGTCTGACAGTGGATTATATACCATGACCACTGTAGCCACTACACATTATACTAGAACTCCACTAAATGCCATATCAGAAAGTGATTTGTCATCTTGTGAAGACAGTGGCAGCAGTCATTCGAGACAGATAATGAAACCAAGCCTTGATCCACTACTTCGGCATCCCTCTTCACCACCAGTTAGGATGAAATCCAGGTGACACCAAAGAGTTAAATAGTTATCTATTTTTGACTTAAATTCATGAAAAGTATTCTGCTACATGTCATACATCTTAATAATTATTATTGCATAATTTTTAATGGTAAAATCTATCTGATAATTCTTTCAGTCCAAGAGAACTTCTTCCTCCAAATGCTGGAATAATTGATATTTGGAAGAGAAAATTTACACCTTTACCATCACTGAAGAGTGGAGGAAATTTTGCCTGTCCTACACCACGGCTTCCCCCATTAATAAAGCGGGAGCGAGATGTCTCTGAGGAAAGGAGGAGACAGCAGCTTTCACATGATCAACGATACAGTTCTTCAAGTGATGAGCAGTCTAGCTCTGTACAGTATTCCTTTGCTCATAATAAAGATGAAGCATCTCATCACCATAACAGAGAAAGGAAGGACAGTGCTAGGAGTAATTCCAGAAGTAAGGGCAATGATAAAAGTACAGTAGAACAAGACCGTATTGGTGGAACTTGGAATTCTAGTGAAAGACCAAATAGCTGTATCTCTGACAGACACAATAATGACTCATATAACCACTATTCAGGTCAGCAAAGTCAAGCTTTAAGTACCAAATCAAATGAAAGATATAATAATCACCAAAGTAGATCCCTTGAGAGAAAAGGTTCCTCAGATGATCCAAGATACAGATGTGCGTCAAGATCTGGAGAGAGATATGAAGTTATATCAAGGAGCAGTGAGTTTCCACATAGTTCTTCAAAAGATAGGACAAACCAGCAACATGTGAGCAGGTCTCTAGATAAAAAAGATAGTTTTAGAAACCAAATGAACCATGAATCATACAGTTCCAGAGATAAATATAGAGAACATTATAGTGACAGAACTCACTCATGCTGTCAGAGTTCACAGCACAAATCTTGGTGTGAGAAAAGATCTCAAGCTCCAGAGAAGGTAGATTCAGTTTATGGCAGTGGCAAATACAGTGAAACTGAAAAAAGAAGTAATTTAAATCCTGTAAGTTCTCATCATAATTCATGCAATGATACCTGTAAGCGAAGTGTTAATTCATGTAGTAGAGGTCATTCTGCTAGTGATTCAAAAAATGAACAACAAAACAATATTCTAAGTGACATTCCACCAGTTGTGAACACAATACCAGCTGTTAGTGATGATGTAAAGCCCAAAAAATCAGACACTTTAGAAAATGCTAAACAGCAACCTGGGACACACAAAAAATTGGGCGCAGTTAACAGTCAAACCCTTAGGCAGCAAACTTCACCACTTTCTTCAAGAAGATTGATGAAAAGACGATATAGAAGTAAGAGGTGCATCTTAAACATCTTGAGTAATGGGGAAGTGTGCATTGAGCATCTGTGTAACAAAAGAAATCAAGAGATGGTAGATGAAGTATGCAGAATTACTCCCGATGGATTGAGGGTATGATTATGTGCATGAAAGTTACAAAATCAATATTAAATAATAAAGTTATTTCAAATTTGTTATTGTATTTCTCACTGATGTTTGATGCATCGTCATTTCTGGGGGGAGCCCCGTCGGCTCCCTGAAGCTAACCGAACAGATATGTGCTTTTATTAGTTTGGGGTCATCAATTACTGTAGTTCTGAGCCTACCAGGGACCACAAGCCAGAGCCTGGTCACCTCAGAGAGGCGCAGGACACGATGGCGTATGAGCACTTAACATTTAAAGTACAGTACTGTATTGTCATATTCTGCCATCCACGGGGGCAGTAGCCCAGGAAAATAGGCAAACCAAAACAAGCAGCTAGCTGGTAAAATTCGACCTAAAGAGCCCGAAAGAGTAAAGAAACTCCTTTGCAAGGAAATGCCTGCTTTCAAGTAGGGAAACCCAAACTACTCCCACTTGTTCCGCTAACAAATGGGAGTACTAGTTTTCTTGCAGAGTTGCTTGTTTCAGTTTGTCTATTTTCTTTGCTCTTTTGGGCTATAGGTTGCATTTTACCAGCTAGGTGCTTGTTTTGGTTAGGCTATCTTTCTGGGCAACTGCCCCGGTCGATGGCAGAATATGACAATACTTTAAATGTAAAGTGCTCATATGTCATTGCTCCTAGCGCCTCTCTGAGGGGACCAGTTTCTGGCTCGTGGCCTCCGGTAGGCTTAAGGAACTGCAATGACTGAAGACCCCCAAACTAATAAAGAACATATCAGTTGGGTTAGCTTCAGGGAGCCTCTGGGGCTACCCCCAGAAAAGGGCATTTCATTACATTCAACGCTGGCTTTATTTCCAGTGTGACTAATATACTGTATTTTAAGTTTGTTTCATGAGCATATATGGGTTGAGAGAAGAAATATGAAAGTAGTATTATATTTTGATATGTGTATATTATTTCAGATAGTTATTTACCAGCCAAATGGTGGCTCAGGTTCAGTGCCTGGAGATGCTCCACCTCCATTACCAGATGAAGGAGCCCAATTACTATTCTCTTATGAAACTCTTCCTGTCAAGTACTGGAATAAATATAAAGCAGCTGCCAGGTAAGGTTAATAATTGTTGAAAAGTTATAATGCAGGAAAAAACATAACAATTACGGATGAGGTACCAGTGTACAGTATACGGGAATGATTAAATGCAATGTAAAAGAAAATACATTGTATAAAAAAACTGCTAAATTTAATCGGATAAAATTTTCTGATGAGCCCTCAATCCCGGTGCCTTAAACACTGGAGCTGCTAAATTTAGGGTCATGCCAGGCCTCTGAGACAAGGGGTTTTATGGTCAGTGGCTCTGGATTCAAGTGGTGGGCTTGTTGATGCAGCGTTAGCGGCTTTCTTCGCTCTGGTATCTGTCCTTTGATTATCATTAGCATTACTGTATCATTTCTGTTCTAGCTCCTCAGAATTTCCCAATTGCTGTTTATACTGTTGCTTCATTTTATTCAGCATAGGCAGTATGTACTCACCTAGTTGTGCTTGCGGGGGTTGAGCTCTGGCTCTTTGGTCCTGCCTCTCAACTGTCAATTAACTGGTGTACAGATTCCTGAGCCTACTGGGTTCTATTATATCTTCATTTGAAACTGTGTATGGAGTTTGCCTCCACCACATCACGGCCTAATGCATTCCATCTGTTAACTACTCTTACACTGAAAGTTCTTTCTAAGGTTCCTGTGGCTCATTTGGGTACTCGGTTTCCACCCCGTGTCCCCTTGCACAAGTACTACCCGTGTATGATTTTTACTAGCAGTTGGGTGGGGAGGGGGTTTAATTTTGGTACTTTTCTCTGAGTATGTCTCGGATACACTTTGGTGTCCTGCTGGAAGTCAGTTGTATTCTGTCCTGTGACTGTGGTGTCTAGGTATACTGCTCATGCTTTTGAGGAATGACAGGATACTCACAGAAATCACAATAGCATGATGAATCAAATGAACAAATCCACAAGGGCCGTGATGAGGGTTTAAACCTATGTCTGGGATGATCCCAGACGTGCCTTAGTCAACTGCGCCACGACATGGTTAAAAGAATTGTAACCTGGAGTGCTACTGCCCCCACAAGACTCAAACAGCTTCTCCGAGGCACAGACCAGGGTTTTACATAATTCCCCCATGCAACCGGGCTCTGTCAACCAAATGTTCTACCTCTGTCTACTAGAGTGCAGTAACACGCCAGGTTGCAATTCTTTTAACCATGTCATGGCGCAGTCGACTAAGGTGCGTCTGGGATCATCCCGGACGTAGGTTTGAACCCTCATCACGGCCCTTGTGGATTTGTTCATTGACAGGATACTGTCTGGGCTATTTATTGGCCCTGTTTCTCATGATCCCGTGTTCCAAGGCCTTCCATCCTCAGGTATTCAAAGAGGTGGTTTGGTTCAACCAGACAGCTGTTTATTTCAAACATGAGGATGTGCAGTTGGCTGCTACTTTGATGTTTTTGCCATTTTGTCCATTTTCCTGAGGTTATAGGTTATATTTGAACTCTGGGCTTCTGGCAGTCATACTGATGATGGTCTCTCATTCTTTGTTGTATGTTCTTTGCCCTGGGCACTCCTCTTATACCGTTCTTCTCTCACAGGTTAGCCCAGTCTGCCTTTTTTCTCTTTGGAAAAGTTGGTGTCTTCTGTCAAGGCATCGTTGAGAAAGCTCTGGGAGCTACTGAGGAGTCCCTCCCGGAATTCAAGCTCCTAGTAGTTCCTCATCCTTTCCTTTTTCCCCTTTTTACCAGTATTCTTTTGTGATTTTGTATAGAGAGCTCTCAAGTGAAGGGACGGGCTGGCTGACACACACATTACTTGGGCTGCCATCTAGAGGCTGTCAGGCACATATCAGTAAGGATATTTGCCTCATGGTAATAATGATTTGCCTTGTTTACCTTGGGGTGCCTAGTTTCCTTTCAAGCAGTTGCTTGCTTTGTTGTATTTTTGCTTTCCGGTAAGTTTTTCCTCAATTTTGTGGTTGATCCATAACCCCTGCTCCCCTCATCTTGTAGAGTGGGCCAGATTCTGGTTCTGACTCCTGATGGATAGGTCTCAGAAGTTTGGTGTGTTTGGTCATGGCTTGGTAGTACCAGAGCTAAGATGTGGAAGTATTTCTTTACTTTCAGTGCTTATTTGTGCACTTAACATCACAGTTTTTGTAATTTTGTGTAGGGCATATTATTACTTTTTCTTGAAGAGCCTCTCGGTGGCTCTCTGAAACTATCTTGCCGAGTTGACTTCATGTATTGAATTATAGCAATCATAGGTGTCTTGTATAGCCTAACAGGGACCAGTACTAGAACCTGGAAACCCCCATACAGAGGCACAGGGAGCAGGGGACTATTATGATCATCCTCACAAAGAAAACATTCAGAAATTAAGTGAAGCAATATAAACAACTGCAAAGTTCACAGAAAACAAAGCATCGAAACAGCTAAATGACTCTCCAATGATTCACTTCAACCCACATGATTCATTCAAAACTAGCATGAACCACCTAGTTGTGAGTGGTGCCAACAGGTGGCATCCTGGGTGCTCCAGGCTCCCCCACACCCACAATGAGCCAGTCCTGTTGTTGATGGCTGACCAGTCTGGCCTTCCTGAGTCACCAGCCATAGTGATTCCCATTTACTTTCATAAGTGTAGGTTATCCTTTGGACTTTGTCCTATGTGTTATTCCTTACCATTAGTATTTGCTTCTTGTACATTTGTTTAAATGCCTTACTTGTTGCATAGACTTGGTCTAATAATCACTATGACCTGCATGTGTTTAGTGCCAATGTTTCCCTAAGCACTTGTTTAGTGTAGCCCATACACTGATAGTGATTTCTGGTGTGTTCGGGACATGGCCCCTGAGAAGCAAAACTGCTGTGTTAAGAGACTTGTTCTGGGTAGTACATGAGTTTCTGACTCCTCTGTAGGGCCCCCTGCAGTTAAGGGCATTTGGATTATTTTCCTGTGGGGTGCACTAGGGGTCACCTGCTTCACACAGAAAACCACTGTTGCTCTTTTTAGCTGTGTTTATTCTATAAGCTTCATTTGGTGTCAGTTCTTTTGGCGAGGATCTCTTGTGCCTGGCTGTCCTGCTTGGTTACACTCCTTTAGGCTCTGGTAACTCTTCTCTGGGTCTGTGGTGTGGCGTCATTATATTTACTGCCGTTTTCTGGGGGAGCCCCTTCGGCTCCCCTGAACTATCCAGGCTGGCTTGTGGTCCCCGGTAGGCCTAGAATTCCATACACACTGACTGATGCCAAAGTCTAATGATATACATATCAGCCTGGATAGCTCCGGGGAGCCTCCGGGTCTCACCCAGAAAGTGGCGTTTCGTTTCATTCTTTTTTTATATTTTTCAAAGTACTGTATATTTGTATATAACTGAAGACAGTGAATTATAGTATGACATGAATTTCTCTTTTACAGGTTTGTAAAGTTTGTGAAGTCTATAACTACCAAGATTACATATTACACAGAGCAAGCAAAATGTTATCTGATGGAAAATTCACCAGATCCAGATTTCGTGGCAATGTTTTATCATGGTAATGTAAAAGTTTTAATGCATCTTGGCTTCAGCACTTATTTGTTGATTCCACTTTGCAAATTTGTCTTTATTAAATGATAAAGTATTTTTCTGTTCATACTTTATTTCATTTTTACCAAAAGTTACTTCAAGATGCCTCACTAAACTATTTACTGTATATGTACAGTAATTACATTTCTGGAGGAGCCCCGTCAGCTCCCTGAAGCTATCCGAATTGATATGTGCTATTCTATATTAGTTTGGGGTCATCAGTCACTTGGAGTTCATATGCCTACCGGGAACCAGAGCCACAACCTGGTCCCCTCAGAGAGGCGCAGGGAGCATGGCGTGTGACCACTCTAAACGTAAAGTATGTCATCTTCTGCCATCGACTGGGGTAGGCACCCAGAAAGACAAGCGAGCCAAAACAAATAACCAGCCAATAAAATGCGACCTACAGCCAGAAAGAAGCAAAGAAACTCCTGCTAAAATAAAATAAAAATAACAGAAAATGACCCAAACTGGCAACTCTACCCTCAACTAGTACTCCCGGTTGTTAGTGTATTCCCCCCCCCCTCCTCTATAGGAGGGAGAAAGGGAATACCTACGCAACACCACACACTGTATCAGCATTGTGTGATGTGGTGGCCAGGTGTTTCTTGTACTTTGAACAGCATGCACCTAGGGTACAAGGCACAACCCTGGGTGCTCCTTAAGTACTACCCTTGCATTCAGGGTTCTCCTCTCTGGCCGTTCGGGATTCGTTTTCTGTTAGAGGGCTTCGTAGCTTGACTTTGTCTTCGCCCCTTGGGGTAAGTCGCCCTCGATGGTCTGGGGCTTTCTGTCTTGCCCTGAGTAGGGGAGTGCTATTGGCCGGGGAGAGGGGGGTGTGCTGTGACTGGGTGTGCTGTCTGCTACCTATGCAACAGCTGATGTTTCTCTGGCTGCTAGTGTGCTTGTGGTGTTGTTTTGGGGGCTTGTTTTTTTGTTTTTTATAATTTTTGGGAATTTTCCTTCTGTGGACGGAGAAGGTTTGCTTACCTGCTTATTAGGACAGCCTAGGTTGTGGTGGCTCTCCTATTCTGTTGTCCCCGAGATTTCACCGCTGCTTCTGGTACTCGGTTTGTCTGTTTACAAGCAGGGGGTCTACAGCATAGCTGGCCACAGTGCCTGGGCTTCATGCAGGATTAACATACCCTGCGGGCCCTGAAGAAACCCCTTGGGATCAGTTGGTAACTTGAATCCTTCTGAGTCCACTCTTGCCTTGTGCGAAGTTGAAGGTTGTTCGTTGCCCCTGCCTCAGGAAGACGATAACCTCCTTCTGCCTGTTGGGTCAGTGACACCTACAGCCTGGAGTCTTGCAGGACTTGGTCCCTCGCTTGTGCTTCAGATACCCATTCTTCGTCTGCGGATGAGAGAATTCAGGCGGTGGTTACGTTGCAAGGTGCATTGAGTTGCACTGCGTTGCAGAGGCAGTTAGCCTGTCCTTCCCGCCAAGGCTTCCGGTTCATCCCAGCCGCCTTCTTTCTCGAATGTCTTTCTCTTGCACTCTGCCTTTTCTTCAGAGGTGGTGGGTGTGGAAGAGGGTTCTGCCCCATGGCCTGTGTTGGGGTTTCCTGGGGGCTCAGGGGAAGTCTGCTGGGAGCATTTGGGCTCCTTTTGCCCCTGCTTGGGCTCGGGCACATTCCTGAGCTTCTTGAACTCCTGTGGTTCTCTGTTTGCAGCCTCCACCTCATCCCTGCCTCCTGCATTTCCTTTCCTTCCTTCTCGGTCTCTTTTTCATGTCTCTGTGGCTCCTTTGGGTACTCGGTTTTCTCCAGTGTCCCATTCTAGGTGTACTCGTAGTAGTGTACTCATTGATTCGTCCTTCTTTTCCTACCCTGTTTTGTCTGCAATGCGAGTAACATTTTATTATCTTTCTTCCTCAGGAAGTTTTGGAGTTCTTGGGATTAACTTTGTCATCCCTCTTGGTACGTGTTGTTTGAATTTCTATACATTCATTCTTATGGAAACCACAACTAAAGTGGGTCATTTGTATGAGTCTAAACAAGGAAGACCTAATGCTGCAGATTGGCATTCTATGTCTTGTTTCTTTATTTTTCAGGCTTCCTACCCTGTCTTGTCTGTTCCCTCGGGGACCTTTGGGTGGTGGTCATGTCTACTGGGCTGTCTTGTCTTGTGTATGTGCCTGTGTTGCTTCTGTATATTATTACCCCAGTCTTGTGTTCACAGACTGTGGTCATTGGCTTGTTTTCTTTCTTTTTTATGGGCACTGGTTTTGTGCCTGGTTCCCTTGCCTTATATGCTTGTTCGGCTTCCAAAGCTTCAGCCCTCAGTATCCTGTCTGTATTATGGCTGTTTTAGCCATAGGGCTCTTTATATATATACTGTATATAAAAAAAAAGCTTTTCATTCACATTGTGATTCCTAAAAGATGGCAATGGAGTAGGTAGATTTGTTTACGGGTGCCCTAGGGTTCCTTGGATTGGTCTTTTCGGAGGTTTTCTTACTCTCAGAGTCCCCTTGCAGGGGTTTGGGAGGCCCTAGGCGCATAACTCCTGTGATACTCTAGTTATGTCTGTGTTGGATCCGGTTTTTGTTTGAGTTTGTTTCCTGTTATTCTGATTGGGTGCACTTCATGGTTTCGGTGTCTTCCTGGCTGACAACCTGCCTTGAGGACTGGTTGGTGTGGGCTCCCGGCCATTCGGCTTGTCTGCTAGTTCTTTCCCAGCTTGCAGGGTTCGGATTCCTGGTAATTTGGCGGATGTCCCAGTTGGTTCTGTCGCAGGTTCGGACTTGGCTGGGCCTCGTATGGGATTCTTGGACTGCGTTTGTGTCTCTCCCTCCTGCAGATTTGCTCCGGCTGCTGTCCTGCCTTCAGTTGTTTTTGAGGGGGAATCTGGGTCACTCGGCGATTGCTTGAACAGCTGTGCGGGGGGGCCTGAACTTTGCCATGCTGGTTTACCCACTGGGCTGGGTTTGGTTTCAGAGGCTGTCCTGGTAATTTCGGGGCAGCCTCTTTCGCCACTCTCGTGACCACTGGGTTTGATCACTGCGGTCCTTGCATTGGTTGCTGCATCTCCGGCTTCCTCTTCAGTGTTTTCCGAGTTCAATGCCATTGCACCTTCCCTTTCCCTTGCTCGATGTGTTCACGGACGCCTCGTCTCTTGGTTATGGTTTCGTGATCAGCACTCACCAAGCTGGCCAGGGACGTTGGGCTCCATTCTTCCATTGGGCTCACAACATGGTGCGGGAGAGTGCAGCTGGCTGTGTTGGTAGCGCTGTAGTGGATTCAGCTTCCTTGGGACTCTGTGATCAGGCTCTTTTTAGACTGCTCTTCTGTGGTTCATTGTTTCAACTGGAGTATGTCTCTGCGATCAGTGGCTCTTTGGGATCACAGAGATGCTTCGGGTAGCTCTTCTGCTGAGTTCTCGAGGTATAGCTCTCCGTGCTGTTCACATCCAGGGGTGTGTTCAACGTCTTCACTCTCCCGCGAAGAGGTGGACCTCTTCGCGTCGACTTGGTCTCTGCGTTTCCCAGTGTACGTGGCACCATTCCTCAACTGCGAGGCCCTCATGGTTGATGCTTTTTGGTAGAACTGGTTGAGATGGGGGTTCCAATCCCTTTATCCCCTGGTCCAGCTGCTGCTCCAGGTTCTCGTTAAGTTGGAATCCTACCAGGGGAGGGTGCTTCTCTGGCCCCGTGGTGGCCGACCCAGCTTTGGTTTCAGGCGCTGCTTGCTTGGTGGTCGAGTTTTCCGTAGTTTCACATTTTTCAGCAGGTCAGGCCGGTGAGGTACCTCGCCGGTTCGACTTACTCGCTCTTCGCATCTGGTTTTTCTGATGTGGGTGTATTGCCACATGTATGGTGATCAGGTGACTTATTTGATGATGTCCCTGCGGTCTTCGTCTCAGCAACAGTATGAATCCTGGCGGTCTTTCCGCCATTTCCTTTCCCTTCGAGGGTGTTGTCTGTATCTGTTAAGATTGTTTTGTTTTTTCTTGTTTTTTTTCTGGACCGAAAAAAGTATTCGGCATCTCATGCCGAATACTGTCGCTTCTCATTGTGCGACATTGGCGGAGGCACGCCAGCTTGTGTTCGAGGTGGATGTCTCTTCTGCTCTGTTCCGTAGTTTTTCTCATGTATTTTTTACCTCCGGCCTGCTCGTGTGCGGCCTGCGCCATCCTGGTCTTTGGACTGGGTGCTCTTTTTTCTTTCCTTCCCTTGGTTTGTGGTGGCCCTTCCGGTTCGTGATTGTTTTTTGAAAGTCTTGCTTTTGTTGGATTTGGCCTCTGCGGGTCGGGTTGCAGTCTTATCCAGTGCAGGGGTTTCTGCTCTTTGGGTCCTGGTGCGCGTTTTGTTCGTTTGCAGCCTTCAACTTCTTTTCTAGCGCAGAATGAGATGGCTGGCTTTGTCTCATTCTGGAGGGGGTTCGTTGGATGTAGATGCTTGGTTAGTTAGGCTGGGGGTGCATCATGTCTTTTATCCGGTAGGGGCTGTAAGTCGCTACCTGGGGGGCCCCCGGTTCGGTGGCCATGGACGCAGTCTGGTGGATCCTGTTTCCTCTGGTGCCCTGTTCCTGGTGTAATACTGTAAAGGTGTTTTGTATTTAATATATACATAGTACAGGAAACACAGACAAGTTTGAGAGGTGCCAGATTGGCGGCCCCTGGTAATTAAGAAAGTCACACCTCTAGAGTGTTGATGACCACCAAGTGACCAAGGTCAAGTCGTGTGAAGTTGACCTGGTTGCTGCTAAGCTCATAATTGTAGCCGGGTATGTGGGTGGGTCCTTTCAAACAAGCCGCCAGTTTAAGGAGTGCCTGGGGCTATCTACTTGTGGGCAGAGTTAGCTAGATGGTCCCCAATATATACCCAGGGTACTTTACACTTGAGAGACAGGAGAACAGCCAGCAGAGCAGAACAGAGGCCAGCATAGCCAGGGAGGCTGGCAGCCGGACGGGGCAGGACAGTCTTTGTCAACTACAGACCTTCCCCCCCCCCCTCTATCCAGCTATAGGCAGACACTTGGCGAGTTGAACATGAAAGGTGACTTATTTCGTGTACTAAGATGTTGTGTGATCTCTAGGGGGCAGACAGCTGTAGTGACTCTCAAAATTCTGTGTGGTGGCTCGCATTGTTTATCTGGAAATAATGAACCTTCAGTTCGATTGCTTGAATTTTGATATTTATCATGCTAAATAAATAATTGATTCACTTACTTTTAATTTGATTTTAATTGTGTTCCCGAGTTCTTGGAATTTCTGATATATGCAAACTAGAGTGTAGAGTACTCTTGAGTAAGGGACTAAAAGAATCTTGCCTGGAACATGATTCCAGTTAAAACATGCTAATAATGACCTGTTTATACATCTTTGAGAATTTTGTGATACCAACAAGTTCCATTCCTTGTCTTGTATGTAATGGACTAGAATGGATGGTGGCACTCTACTCTCTACTTCTACTTATCTACCCTTCTACCTCTACCACTAACTCTCCTACTCACTTCCTGCCCCCTTTCCTCTCCCTCCGCCTCTTCCTCCCTGTCCCGTTCATCTGATGACCCTCCTTACTCCTCCCCTCTCCCTACTGCCCTCACCCCAAACCCTCACTAATTACTTCATTATTCCTCTCTTTCCTTTCGTTTCTCTTGTACGTTCGTGGCAGTGAACTGTTCTAGACCGGGTGAGGTCGTGTGCCAGGACTCGCGGTTCCGTTCGTCGGGGTCGGCCACAGGTGTCGGGTTTGATGCTGGTGCTGTCTGCGGCCCTGCCTGCGCCTGGTCAGCGCGATGTATGCTCTGCACGCAGGTCTGGTTCTCGTAAGGGGCAGCGGCCCTTTTGCGGTTCACCCCCATTGACGGGGCTGTGTGGGGAGGCATGCTTTGTTTGCTCACGCCTGGTTTCACAATTTGTGGGCTTTTTGGGTAGTTTCTCTCGGCCTGCGGTGGCGTTGGGTGGCTCCTCCTCCTTTGGAGGGTTTGGGACTGACAGCGGCAGGCTTCCTCTCCTGCGCTTTTTCGGGTCATCTTGGAGTGGGTGCACTTGGGCGCGGTCAAAACGACGACGTCTCTCAGGTGGGTTTCGCGCCTGTTCCCAGTTCTGAAACGGGACTGTGCGACCTGCTGTTCATTCTGGACTTGTCCTGACTGAACCCATGGGTTTCTTGCCCCTTGTTTCGGATGACCACTCTGTCCCAGGTCCGACTTCTGTTGGAGCCGGGTGCTTGGATGGTGGCCTTGGACCTTAAGGACGCGTATTGGCACGTCCCTATTCATCTGGGGTTACAGAACTGGCTCGGTTGTGTTGTGGGGCATCAGAGTTACATGCCTTACCTGGGTCGTGATGGTCTGTCTGCGTCTGTTAGGTGTTCGGGTGTTGGCTTACCTCGATGACTGGCTGGTTTGGGCTTCCAGTCGGTCCTCGTGTCTGCTCGCCTGGGTTTTGGTGCTTTTCCAGCTCAACGGGTTTGTGTTCTTGGTGAACTGGAGGAAGTCCCATCAGGTTCCTCCCAGGTTTGATCCTGGCTGGGTCTTGTGTGGGACTCTTGGACTGCTTCCTTGTCTCTTCCTCCAGTGTCTTTCCTTCGGCTGCGGTCCTGCCTGTGCTTGTTTCTGAGGGCTCCCGGGTCACCCGGCGGTTGCGCGAGGGTCTGTGCGGGAGCTTGAACTTTGCGAATGTTGGTCTACCCTCCGGGTCGGGTTTGACTTCGTCGGCTGTTCTGGTTCCTTCGGGAACGTCCCTTCCACCTCTCTTGTGATCGCTGGTTTCGTCCCCCGGCGGCCCTTTGTCAGCTGTTGCGTCGCCGGCTTCCTTTTCGGGTTTTTGGGGTTCCGTGCCTCGGCGCTTACCCGAGCCCTCACCCAATGTGTTCTCGGATGCGTCGTCTCTCGGCTGGGGCTTTGTGACTAGTGCTCACCAGGCCGGCCAGGGGTGGTGGGGTCCGTCCTTCCGTTGGGCCCACAGCACGGTGGAGTTTATGGCAATGTGGTTTGCGCTCCGGAAGGTTCGGGTCGCCCGTGGATCAACAATCCGGCTCCATTTAGACTGCTCCTTGGTGGTTCATTGCCTGAACCGAGGGGGGTTTGATGCGGTCCTTGGCTCTTTGGGGCTGGTTGCTTCGGGTGACTCGTCTGCTGAGTTCTCAGGGTTTGGATCTCCTGGTGGTTCACGTCCAGGAGGTGTCCAATGTCCTGGTGGACGGCCTGTCCTGGTTTGTTCCCCTGTCCACGGAATGGACGGTCGACACTGACTCATTCAGTTGGCTCTGCCAGACGTTTGGGCGCCCGGAGGTGGACCTCTTTGCGTCGGTGTGGTCGAGGCGTCTCCTGGTGTATGGGGCGCCCTTCCCCGACTGCGAGGCTGTCAGGATAGATGCCTTTTGGCAGGACTGGTCGAGGTGGGGGTTCCTGTACCTCTTTCCCCTGGTTTAGCTGTTGCTCCAGTTCCTAGCTCACTTGGAGACTTACCAGGGGCGAGTAATCCTCTTGGACCCATGGTGGCCGGCCCAGCCGTGGTTTCAGTCACTTCTTGCCCAGTGTCTGAACCCGGAGGTTTTTCCGCGGCTCCACCTCATTCAGGGGATCGGTCCGGTCCGGTACAAGACTGGTTCGCTCTTCTCCTAGAATCTTCATGTTTGGTATTTTTGACTTGGGTTTATCACCATCTCTATGGTAATCAGGTAGCTTCTTTGCTGGTTTTCCACCTGTGGACTTCCTCTCGGCAGCAGTATGAAATTTCCTGGTGGTCCTTCCGGTTCTTTTTGTCCCTTCATCGTTGCTCTTCGCTTTTGGTTCGAGTAGTGTTGTCCTTTCTCTCTTGGTTATTCCAGGATCGTCATCTTACGCTTAATACTGTTGCCTCGTATCGTGCGGCGCTGGCGGAGCCGCTGAAGCTTGCTTTCGTTATCGATGTTACTTCTGCACCGTTTCGCAAGCTGTCTCGTGCGTTGTTTCACCTCCGGCCTGCTCATGCACTGCCTGAGCCATCCTGGTCTTTGGACAGAGTGCTCTCCTATCTTTTTTCTCCTCGGTTTGTTGTGGTGCCTTCTGTTCAGGATTGCTTTGCTAAGGCTCTTTTTCTGTTGGCATTAACCTCTTGGGGTCGAGTGGCGGAGCTTCATGCTCCTCTCCGGCGCAAAGGTTTTTGCTCTTTTGGTCATGGTCGTAGGTATATTCGTCTACAGCCGTCTCCCTTTTTTCTGGCGAAGAATTAGACTGCTGCTTTCTGGAGTGGTGCTTGGGTTGTTGATGCTTGGTTTGTCAGGCCGGAGGTTCATCATGTGTTGTGCACGGTTGCGGCCTTCCGCCGTTATCTGCTCGTCATGGCTTCTGTGTCCGGGAACACACTTTGGGTTGATCCGGTTTCCCTTCTTCGCTGTTCGCGGGTTTGGGTCTCTCAGGTCGTCCGCAGGGTAATTAAATCCAGCTAGCATGCGGTCTATTCCCGTGCCCATGACGTCGTAAGTTTGCTGCTCTTGCTGCCGTCTTTGGCAATATGTCTTGGGCTGACATTCAAGCACGGGGTTTTTGGTGGTCAAACAGGGTCCTGGCTGCACGCTACCTTGTGAACGTTCCTGGGCCCAGTCGGGCCTGTGTTGCTTTGGGTCGCCGGTTGCAGCCAGTTGTCTCGACTTCGAGTTGAGCAGTGGAGCACCGACCGCCTCCAGGGTAAGTCCCCTTTTATTATGTTGTCTTTGGTGAAGTAGCTCCGGGGAGCCATAGGGGCTCCCCCTTAGAAAACTAGCATTGATTGTAATGAAACGCCATTTTCTGGGTGAGTCCCAGAGGCTCCCCGGCAACCCCTCCCTCCCTCTGGTTGGCGTTTTTTTGCGGTTTTTGATATCCAGCCTCAGAACTGGGGTGATGATCGCCGGCACGAGGGTCTAGGGCTCCCCCTTCCCCCTCCCAGGGAGCGGGGGGAGCTGCGCAGACATGCGGCGCGGCTCGTGTGACATCATGCTTGTTTGCACGTTTTTCTTTTGGATAGTTCTGTCCATTTGTTTGATGATTATCGTTGTTAACCAGAATAGGGGTTTGTTTTGTGGCGCTTATCTTTCTGGGTGCCTGTCTTGGTCGATGGCAGATATAGAATGCTCCAAATCACATGTGCATTTCTATGGGCCATTGCTCCTCGTGCCTCTGTGAGGGGAAGGGGGGCCAGGTTCTTGCTTGTGGTCCTCGGTAGGCCTAGTACTCCACCCACATCGACTGATGCAAAATAGTTAGGGTACCCATATCAGCCATGGATAGCTCCGGGGAACCTCCGGGACTCACCCAGAAAATGGTGTTTCGTTACATTTAACGTTGGTTTTTTAGCAGTCTGTTAGAAGTTCACCAATATTTACAGGTACACCAATATTAAGCATATTGAGAGTTTAAACATTCAAGCAAGTTTATGTATAAACCTAATAATTTGTGATTGTAATATCTCGCCTTCATGACAGGAACTAAAATGACCAAATGTGGAAACAATTTGGTAGTCAAAGAAACAACTGGGACCACACATACAGTGTTACTGACTTCTGGACATAAAGTGTTGCCCGAGATCCTGCAGCCCCTCTGTCTGCACTTCAAACAAGTAATGTACCTTACAGTATTTATGCTTTTATGAAAAGTTAGCATTTGATTGATTTAGTTACTTAGTGCAGGCGATGAGTCACAATAACGTGGCTGAAGTATGTTGACCAGACCACACACTAGAAGTTGAAGGGACGACGACGTTTCGGTCCGTCCTGGACCATTCTCAAGTCGATTCTAGTTACTTAGTGTTTGTAATGCATATTATGTGCATAAGCAGTTCAACCTCACTTGAGCAAATCTCCAGTTCCAGTGCACACTTTTCAGGGGTAATTTACTGGCACTTCCCTGCTTCACTGAACAATGTTCAAAAGGGGAGTGATGCACAGATATGCTTTAAAACATTTACGTAATAAGTTTTATTATTGTACATTATTTTAATAATATCTAACAAAACTGTGACTCAAAATGTATATGTTGTATGAGTGAGTGTATTATCAGGGAAAGTGCCAAGCTATTACAACTATATAGCACTTTAATGAGTCAGGATAAGGATTTGGGATGGGCCGAGGGAAAAGGAATGGTGCTCAACCACTTGGACGGTCGGGGTTTGAACGCCGACCTGCATGAAGCGAGACCGTCGCTCCACCACCCAGCCCCAAGTGGTTGGGCATATTATGTATGAGATGGATCACAGAAAAAAGTGTTCAATAATCAAATATTGTACAGTAGTCAGTTAAAAAACACTTGTTTCCCATTAATTATTAGCTAAAAACAACATCATTTCATCTTCTTTACTTTAACATCATTATTTTAGCACTTAAAAAGTGTGTGGATGGCAAACACATCCTTATATTTGAAACCTAAATCAGCTGTGTGTAATTCATGATGTGACACAGTCCCCCTACTTTCCACATCCCACTCATGTACTGCCTCCCTCATGCACCGCCTGATTCCCTCCTCCCTCCCTCCCTCAAGCATCACCTGCCTTCCTCCCTCCCTCCCTCATGCACTGCCTGCCTCCCTCCCTCCCCTCCCTCATGCACTGCCTGCCTCCCTCCCTCCCCTCCCTCATGCACTGCCTGCCTCCCTCCCTCCCCTCCCTCATGCACTGCCTGCCTCCCTCCCCTCCCTCATGCACCACCTGCCTCCCTCCCTCATGCACCACCTGTCTCCCTCCCTCCCTCCCCTCATGCACCACCTGCCTCCCTCCCTCCCCCTCATGCACAACCTACCTCCCTCCCTCATGCACTGCCTGCCTCCCTCCCTCCCCTCCCTCATGCACTGCCTGCCTCCCTCCCTCCCCTCCCCTCCCTCATGCACTGCCTGCCTCCCTCCCTCCCTCCCTCATGCACCATCTGCCTCCTTAGGCTAGGCTAGGTTAGGTTGTAGCGACGCAGTGGGTTTTGCCGGATGGTCTGCCTGGCATCTCGGTCTCCCTGGATGCCCCGAGACTGCCCCGTTGGTGTTTTTCAGGACCCGGACTTGGGGCTAGAGGCCGCTTTGCCTTCCTCTCTTCTTCCCTTTTTTGTAGGTCCAGTTTCCCCGCCCTGGCTTCCAACTCCGACACTCCCAGGGTTGGGGGTGTGGCGGGGCCTCGTTGGTGTTGAGACTCGGGCGGTTTTGGGGGTTTTCCCTTCTGGGTGGCAGCAGGGGCATTCAAGCTAGTTCCTCCCTGCCTATACATAAGGGTCTGACCAGTGGGCCCCCCCCTTCATTAGTGTTTTACGGCTGCCTTGGCTTTTTCTTGTGGGGTCGATGCTTTGGGGGAGCAGCTCGGCCTCGGGTTGTTGTTCCTGGGGTGTGTGGGGGGGGGGGGGGTGTGACTTGGTGGGCCTTGTGCCCTGTTGCACCCTGCCAGGGTTTTTATACCCCTCAGGGCAGGGTTTCGCGTTACAGGGAGCGGGTTCTCTTTCGCCCCTTCCTCCTACATATTGGACTTTGCATCTACTCCTACCCGGGTTCGGTTCCGTGATCTTCTGGGTTCCTCGATCCCGGCCTTCCGGAGGTTTTCGGTTTCCCGCATCCCTTCTTATGTGGTGCGGGCAGCCTTTGTGACCTGGATTCCTGTGCGACCCGGATTCTGCTTTCGTGTTGGACTCTCGGTTTTTGCTTCTTGGGTGGTGTTGGCTTCTTCTTTAGAATCTGCTTGGGCCTTGGCTCTTGGGTTGTGTTCCCCTTTTTGTCCGTTGTTGTTTGCAGAGTCTGCTGTTGTGCAGTATCTGCAGACGGTTTCGACTAGGTGTCGTCCTATGTCGGACTTGTTGGTCCTCCGGGGACTTGTGGGGGGCCTTCCTGGAAGGGTCGTGCCAGGGCTCAGGGTTTTTTCCCGTCGCAAAAAGTGGTGCCAGTGGTGCCACTTTTCCCAGTGGTGCCACTTTTCCCAGTGGTGCCACTTTTCCTAGTGGTGTCACTTTCCCCAGTGGTGCCAGTGGTGCCACTTTTCACAGTGGTGGCACTTTTCACAGTGGTGCCAGATTCGGGGCAGGTGCAGCCTTTGGTTCCATCTTTTTTTGGTCGGTGCGGGGATCACCCTGTGCGCTGTTTAGGTTCTCGTATCATGCGTCGGCCCTTTTGTGGTTCTTCCCATTCATGGGGCGATGGGGGAAGAGCCTCGCTCTGTTTGCTCGTGACTGGTCCTACGATTTGTGGGCTTTACGGGTAGTTTCGTGCGGTCTGCGATGGCGTTGGGTGGCTCTTCCTTCGGGAGGTTCAGGGTTGATGGGGCAGGCCTCTTCTCCTGCGCTCTGTTGAGTCATCTTGGAGTGGGTTTGCTTGGGCGTGATCAACACGACCTTATTTCTCAGGTGGGTTCCCACCTGTTTCCAGTCCATTGCCCCTCCTTTCGGATGACTCCTCTGTCCCAGGTTCGTCTTCTGTTGGAGCTGGACGCTTGGATGGTGTCCCTGAACCTTACGGACGTGTATTGGCACATCCCGATTCATCCGAGGTTCAGGGATTGGCTCGGTTTTGTGGTGGGGCTTCAAGGTTACCGCTTTTGTTGCATTCCTTTCTGTTTGAATTTGACGCCTCGTGTTTTTACACGCCTTACCCGAATCGTGTGGGTGTGGTATCGTTCTGGTGTGGCCCGTCTGAGTCTGTTAGGTGTTCGGGTTCTGGCCTACCTCGCCGACTGGCTGGTTGGGCTCCCAGCCGGTCCACGTGTCTGCTTGCTAGGGATTTGGTTCTTTCCCCAGGTATCTAGATTTAGGTTCCTGGTGAACTGGCGGAAGTCCCATCTGGTTCCCTCCCAGGTTTGGTCTTGTCTGGGTCTTATGTGGGACACTTGGACCTCTGAGGGGCTCCCGGGTCACACGGCGGTTGCTCGGAGGTTTGTGTGAGAGCCTGAACTTTGCCATGGTGGTCTACCCGCTGGGTCAGTTGTGGCTTTGGCGGCTGTTCTGGTTCCTTCGGGGACATCCCTTCCTCCTCTCTCGCAACTGCTGGGTTTGCCCTCCAGGGGCTTTGTGTCGACTGCTGCGTCGCTGGCTTCCTCTTCAGGTTTTTCAGAGTTCGGTGCCTTGGCACTTACCCGAGCCCTCGCTCGATGTGTTCACGGACGCGTCGTCTCTTGGCTGGGGTTTTGTGACCAGTGCTCACCGGGCCGGCCAGGGACGGTGGGATTCGTCCATCCATTGGGCTCACAGCACAGTGCGAGTGTTAGCAGCTGTGTGGATGTCACTCCGGAAGGTTGAAGTCGCTCACGGATCAACGATCTGGCTCTATTCAGACTGCTCCCCGATGGTTCCTTGTCTGAACCTGAGGGGGGTTCGGTGCAGTCCTTGGCTTTTGGGGCTGGTCGTTTCGGGTGACTCGTCTGCTGGGTTCTCGAGGTTTGGCTTTCCTGGCAGTTCACATTCGGGGGAATATCCAATATCCTGGCGGATGGCTTGTCCCGGTTCATTCCCCTATCCACGGAATGGACGGTTGACGCCAACTCCTTCCGTTGGCTCTGCCAGACATTCGGGCCTCCGGAAGTGGTTCTCTTCGCATTGGCGTGGTCGAGACGTCTCTCGGTATACGTGGCGCCCTTTCCTGACTGCGAGGCCGTCGGGGTCGACGCCTTTCGGCGGGACTGGGGGAGGTGGGATTACCTGTACCTCTTTCTTTCAGCTGTTGCTCCAGGTCCTGACTTGCTTGGTGACTTACCACAGGAGAATTGTCCTTCTGGCTCCTTGGTGGCTGGCCCAGCCTAGGTTTCAGGCGCTGTTTGCTCGGTGTCCGAATCCGAGGGTCTTCCCGTGAATCCCCCCTCTTTCAGCAGATCGGTCCAGCTCGGTACGAGGCTGGTTCATTCTTCTCCCGATTCTTCACGCCCTAAGATTTTGACTCGAATGTATCACTTGTATCACTCCCACCTGTGTGCTTTGTCTTAGCGGCAGTATGAAGTTTCCTGGCAGTCCTTCCGATTTTTCCTATCACCGCATAGGTGTACTTCAGTGTCTGATAGGGTTGTTTTGTCCTTTCTCTCTTGGTTGTTCCGGGACTGTCTTCCTATGCCGTATACTGTCGCGTCTTCTCGTGTGGGTGGAGCCGCTCCAGCTTGCGTTCATTGTTGATGTTACTTCTGCTCTTTCCGCAAGCTGTCTCCTGTGTTGTTTCACCTCCGGCCTGCTCATGCTCCCCCGTGCGCTGTCCTGGTCTTTGGACCCGGTACTCTCTTTTCTCTCTTCTCCTCGATTTGTTGTGGCCCCTTCGATACAGAATTGTTTTTCTAAGGCTCTTTTTTTTCTGTTGGTGTTGGCCTCTGGCGGTTGGGTCAGGGAGCTTCTTACTTTCCTCCAGCGCAGGGGCTTCTGCTCTTTCGGTCATGGTGGTAGGTTTGTTCGGTTGTAGCCGTCTTCTTTTCTGGTGAAAGATGAGACTGCTGCTTTCCGGAAGGGTCCTTGGGTTGTTGATGCTTTTTTGGTCAGGCCAGGGATCATCATGTGCTGTGTCCGGTTGCGGCTCTCCGCCATTCTTTGCGCACCTTGGCTTCGGTGGCCTGGGATGTGCTTTGGGTTGACTCGGTTTCCCTCCTTCCCTGTTCCTGAGCTCGGGTCTTGGGTTGACATTAGGGCACAGGGTTTTTTGGAGGTCATACTGGGTCCTGGCCACATATCAGCCTGGATAGCTCTGTGGAGCCTCCGGGTCTCGCTCAGAAAATGGCGTTTCATTACATTCAACGTTGGTTTTTTGATGATTTGATTTGGCTTTGAAGCTTTGATCAAAACCTTCAGTCTGAGATGGTTTTGATCAGTCAAAACCATCTGAGATCACTGTATTGCTTAATGTCAGAGTTTCTTCACATTTGTTACAGGCTCACGATCACTGCCTTTACCTGGAGCGAGTCTTATCTGAGGTAACTGATAAGACAAAAATGGAATGCTTTCCCATATTTTCGGGCAGAAGACCAGCATCTGCTTCACCATCAGTCTCTCCTCCTGGTAAACCACATTCTTGGTCAGATAAAGAAAATATCTCACCCACATCCATGCAATCCTATAGATCTCCTAGAAATATTACAGGACAGGTATGTACAATATTTTCTTAATTTTGAAGAAACTTTGGAAATAATTTACTTTGGGTATGGCTGATAAGGAACTTTTATATTTTAAGGTATTCCCTGTAGAGGTACCTTATGGGTTTCATAAGATGTTGTGAGCTTATGCCTCACTAATGTTTCCTGAGCCAGAGTCTCTGTGGTTTGCACAGGACTCTCATTGGGATAGATGTCAGGTTTTAATATAACCTATTACAATTAGATTACAGTATATGCAATTGATGAGCAATTGCATAATCGCTTGGGCAGTGACTTACCTCTTAAGCCAACATGCTTAATGTTAGTTGTGAGCTCTCGAAAGAGTTAAAAAATATTGTTATGGTCTGTCATGGCTATTGGGCCACTAGTTAGTAACTATACATGTGAAATTATGAGAGTAATACCATGAAATATACACTTTTAAGTCAAGGGGGGTATGTGTGTGTGGCTAATTTTTACTATAACCTGTCACAGGGAAAGCATATGCTTTCAGACAAGCAATTGCATAATCAATACCTCAACTGATGTCTGACCTCTTAAACCGTCCGGTTTAGTGACAGTTGGAAGTTCGCTGTCTTTAGTGTAAGATTTATTGTTCAATGCATAATGCTTTATAGTATGCAAATAAAGCAGGGTCCTTAATTTTCATAGTTATAGTGGAAAAATTAACTTACAAATGAGTGATATGTCTCACAGTCTGGGGACATTCTGGAGGGGGCTTGGTTTCTTGGATGTGAGATAAAATTGTGGATGCAGTAAGTTTCTTTTAACATTTTGAGCTGCCGGCGTGCACGCCAGCCCTCCCCAAGGTGGGCCTGGCATTTCCCGTGAGCGCACAACCTCACTAAAATATGTACAGTATACTCTTTTCAGTTTTCTCACATCAATTTTTGTGTTATATTGTTCATTTTGGTATCAAATTGATCAAAATAGATTTCTCTAAAGGGATATATGCATATAAGGTCAAAAAGCCCGGCGTGCCACCCTCGGCAAACCCGAAAATTGACTGAATGTTACCTGTGAGCAAGAACCCATGCACACACACAACACCTACACTCAAATGTGTTTATTCTTTTCAGGTTGATCACCTCAATTTTTGTGTTACATCATTCATTTTGGTATCAAATTGTTTGCAATAGAATGCTAAAAAGGGATATACAGTGACACCTCGGCTTACGAATGCTCCTCTTTACGAACTTTTCGGGTTATGAGCCGAATTTCTTTGTAAAATCCAAATCGGGTTATGAATTTTGCCTTGGGGTAACGTAGTTTGTTGATAGGCGTATGGCTGACCTAGCGCGTGGTGGCACAGCGACCGCGCCTCAGTTTACCAGTGCCTTCTGCCTAGTAACAATTGTGCCTGAATTCTTTGTAAAGAATTTCAGTGTTTATGGGGGGGAGCCCTTTCAGCTCCCCGGAGCTATCCAGGCTGATATGTATATCATTAGACTTTGGCATCAGTCAGTGTGAATGGAATTCAAAGTCTACAGGGGACCACGAGCCAGAACCTGGCCCCCTCAGAAAGGCACAAGGAGCAATGGCCTATAGAAATGCACATGGGATTAGAAGCATTCTATGTCTGCCATCGACCGGGCCAGGCACCTAGAAAGGTAAGTGCCTCAGAACAAACCCCTATTCTGGTTAAAACACTAAGGAAGACTAATGAGTGGACAGAACTCCCCAATTGAAAATGAGAAAATGAGCATGACGTCACACATGCCGCGCCGCATGTCTGAGCAGGTTCCCCCTCCCCGGGAGGGGGAGGGGGAAGCCTCAGACCACCATGCCGGTGATCCACCCTCCAGTTCTCGGCTGATGTGATTGTGGCATGGTCGTGTGGCTCCAGCTCCAGATTCTCTCTTGTGTTGTGTTGTGCCTTGTGTCCAGTACTGCTCTTACGGTGGCGTGCGAGCTGAGAGTAATATTCACAGGTACTCGGGCTGCATGTGCTTAGGGTGAGTGCCCTGTAAGTACCACTCCTGGGGCTTGGGGTTATCTTCCACAAATCACCTTGGGGTCTTCCTCTGTTGGTCTTTTGCTGCTTGGTGATCGACTGCCCCGAGTGTGTTGGGAGATTTCCTCACTTGTTTACCTTAAGATAAGTAGGAGTTTTTGCACTGGTAGGGGCACGGGGTACTGTGCAGCTAGTTTTCACCTATTACAGCAGCTGGCTCTGTTCCTCATAGGAACGTTGTACTCTTGTGGGGTTTTTCTTATTGTTTTTACCTGGTGGGGGTCTGCCTTTGTGTCCCTTGCCCCTGTTATATTAGAACCTTGACCTCCGATGTTCGGTGGTACCCACTGCTTGGCCTTGTGAGTGGACACTTCCCGGGGGTTCAGCTTTAGCAGTTTGTTTGGTAGCTCTCTAACCGGCACCCGTACTTTGGGCGCCGGTTAGCAGTACCCTGTCTGGGCTTACCCTTAGCGATACCAGTCTAAGGGCCCTGGGAATCCCCGCAAAGGTGCACGGGGTCTGATGGATGTGACCGCTAGGTCCCCCTCTCGCCTTGTGCGAGTTTGAGGGTTGCTCTGTTCCCTTATCTCAGAGTGACGCTCATTGTTATTGCCTCCATCATGCTGCCTGTTGGGTCGGTGACACCTTCGACCCAGAGTCCTGCAAGCATTGTTGCTTGTTTCTGACTCAATTCACCCAATCCACTGGTGATATTATTTGAGTGCATGATAGGTATAGGGTGCTGCAATGTGTTAGGTTGATTGCTTCCCCGGATGTCCCGAGACTGCCCTGCTTTGTCTGTAGGGATCCGGACTTGGGAGTGTTGGTCGCTTCAGTCTTGGTCCTGTTCGCACCCCCTTGTTCTCCCCCTCCCCCATCTCCGCTTGCTTCCGGCTCCGAGACATCTGAAGGTTTCGGGATTGGGGCCGGGTTTTGAGGTTTCGGAGACTGGCAGTTTTGGGAGTTGCCCTTTCTGGGGTGGTAACGAAGGCATTCGAGTCTTTTCCTCCAGCTGTAGTGCCGGGGTCTAACCAGTGGGCCTCTTCTCTTCCTGCTTTTCCGGCTGCCCCAGCATTTTCTTGTGAAGCTGGGGCTTTGGAGGATGACTCGCCCCTGGGTCCTAATGTGGAAGCTCCTGGAGTTGGGGAGGAGCTGACTTGGGGGTCTTGGGCCCCGTTGGACCCTGTCTGGGTTTTCCAACCCTCTGAGCAAGGCTTTCTGTTACTAAAAGTGGGGTTTTCCTTTCCCCCCCTCTGCGTACGAGTTAGTTTTCGTGTTGGCCCCTCCCCGGGTTCGGTTCCATGTCCCTTCGGGTCCATTGGTTCCGTCCTTCCTATGGGTAGTTTTGCCCACTTTCTCAACATCTGGGACATGTATTCATCTACATCATGTCACAATCGTGTAAGAATCATCTCGGGATACTGCGTGACCCTTGGTTACGTATATCAATGGGCCCATATGTGCCTCTGTGATTTTGTTCTTGATTATCGAGGGTCTCGAAGGCTCGAGAAGCACTTCGATAATTAAAATATTATTGGAACATCTGTCGATTTCTGGTGAGGATTACCTCCTGTCATTTCTAGGCCTCGTTGGTCCTCTTCCGTACTACTCATTATCTTTCAATACTACAGTATATCTAATTATTTTATACTCACATCTTCTCTCCGTAATCTGTGTCGGCAATAACAATACAGTACAGTAATAGTTTAATAAACAGATTAGTGTTCTGTAGTAGTTTTAACCAGATTAGGGGTTTGTTTTGTAGCGCCTACCTTCCTAGGTGCCCGGCCCGGTCAATGGCAGACACAGAATGCTTTACACACATATACATTTCTATAGGCCATTGCTCCTCGTGCCTCTCTGAGGAGGCCAGGTTTTGGCTCGTGATCCCTGGTAGGCCTAGAACTCCATTCACACTGATTGATGCCAAAGTCTAATAATATACATATCAGCCTGCATAGCTTCGGGGAGACCCTGGGTCTCGCCCAGAAAATGACGTTTCATTACATTCAATGCTGGTTTTTTGACCTTGGGATCTTTTCTTTCTTGTGCATTAATAATATATTTTGTTAACTATAAGCACTAAGGGATAGAGGGAAGTTAGATATGTAAATACCCTTTTGTCATAAAAACTGGTCTGATTTTAACATTAAATTCTTCCCTTCCATAAAGTGAATTATGAGCTGTTGGCTTTTATTGTGCGGAGTTTGCACGATGAACCAAATCACTCTCAAGTCAAGATGGTGAACGTGCTAGAATATTTTCAGTGTCAAATGGGGAAATACTGTATATACATATTCAAGATTTCCTAAGTTAGCAAAGGTGTTTCCAGATTTTAGTTGAAAAATATTTTTAATATTCAAATATATTTCTCTTCGTCAGCTTGGATCATTTGAATGTTCAGTTGCCAGCTTTCAAGCAGCAAGCAATTCTGCTCCCCATGTAAGGATGCCTCTCGCTCCCCACACCTCCAGTAATATTCAGATAAAGCAGTCAGATGTGAAGCGACCTGTATCACGTATTTATGTACAGAATATTGGTTGGGCATCACAGGTAAGAGCCAGAAATTTCTAAAAAAAAGAGTTCACTATAGTATCTAATTTTACCAACTTGTTATGTAGACTGCTAATATCAATGCTTTCTTCATTGATTCCCGCAAAATCAAGCTCTGTTTTGTTTTTCCTCTTGCCGGCGGCCATCTTGAATGTTCTTCTCTGCACTGGAAACACTAGGGCATCTTTTTCTCATCCGATTTTTCACTTCCCTTAGCACTTTCCTGTTATCTCACTTGTTTTTCAAGAGCACTATACCTTTATGTTCTCTGGGACACCACTCACTACCATCAACCTGTACTACAATACTTAGGATTGTTGAAATATGCTGGAGCTCCTCTGCTGCAAGTGTTGACCCTAGGGGTGTCACCTTTTGAATCAGTTCACATCACATTGAATCATTTTTGAAATCACACACCTTTTGAAGTGTGTGTGTGCATTTTATATATATATAAATAATATTTTGTGACGGGAAAGTGTAGAAGTGTAGGTGTTCGGCGGTCCACCTAATGGCTGGTGTCAATGCCTATCACATTTTAGAAAAAAAAGATAGACTGCTTAGCTGTTGTCTGTGGTAAAGTAAGGGAAGACACGCAAAACACATAGTATGAACAATGAAACTTTAATTAACTTTAAAAATTATGAACAAAGAGAATCCCTTGGCTATGTACAGTGCAAACAAACAAGTCAAAAAATATAACATAAAAATTAAGAACAAGGGTGACGTTACTCTACAAATATAATAAAGACAAAAGAATGATTAAACAGGTGCTGAGAATATAGCGCTAGCTGAGAACCTCCACCAATAAACAGAGCGTATATCAGTTGGTTGTTCACAGTTTGAGAGCACAAGGATATTCTGACTTCAATGGCTGGTTCAAGCCCAGACACATTAATTGGCTGTTGATTGCTGGTGTTGACTTTTTGATGTGGTGTTTGACATCTAAAAGTCAACACCAGCAATCAACAGCCAATTAATGCACAACTATATTCTACCCACTTCAAGACTCCGTACCAATATAGAAGTATCAGGAGGAAGTATGGGCCAATAGGCCCTTTGCAGTTACTTACATTCTTCCCTCTCATTTATCAATTAATACCCATTGTTCCGTATTCTGTCTTGTGTTGGTCAAAAGTTTGTTCACCTCATCCAAAACTGTTGCAACATATCACCTCACCCAAATGCGAGTATATAAGACAAGCTGTTTAAAACTCTGTTTAGTGTTTTCAGGTTACAGTTGTGTGTGGGTAAACTAAAGTCTTTGAAAATGTAATAAGTTATTACAAAACGCGTTCAAGCGTCGCGTCAGACTAGAAATAAAAATGAATTTTGGAGAATTGATTTTTCAATTACCATCGACAGTAAAAAGAAACAAAAGAAATATTGAGAAAATTTGTGTTAGAATTATTAATCTTACTTTTTTGGTCATATTTAACAACATGTGTTTACAAGAAAGACTGCTACCAAAATATACTAATATATATACATGTGTGTATGTATGTATATGTGTATATATATATGTATATGTGTATATATATATGTATATGTATATATATATATATATATATATATATATATATATATATATATATATATATATATATATATATATATATATATATATATATATATATATATATATATATATATATATATATATATATATATATATATAAAAGATAGATATGTGCACAGTGAAACTAAATAATGAAAATATATTGGATAAAAAGTTTTTATAATTTTAGTTAAAAGTATTAGCAGTGGCTTCACCATATTATAATTGAGGTTCACTTTTTACAGGGTAGCAATGGTGAAGTTTCTGTTGAATATCTGGATGGAACACAGGTTCAAGTAAGCAGCAATTCCCCCAAAGTGATTTTTTCAGACGCCTCTGGTAAAGCTGCTACCTACTCAGCAAAAGACACATTACCATTTGTGTTACAAAACAAATTATCTCAAATGGAGGCTGTGTTAATTTCTCTAGCACAGTCTCCAGCTTCATCTGTAACGCCGCAATCTTCACACGTGGCTGGACTTTGATAATATCAGTTTAATCATTTACTTGTGAATGAATCTATGTAAGCAGTTCTAATATGCTGAATACTGTTAACAAAGCACATATTGCTGATCTGACAGGCTTAATTGATTTAATTTGATAGGGGTTATCGCAATTACATCTTGTTATAGATAGTGCGTTAGAAAATTATATTTATAGCACTAATTGTTATTGCATGTTTTCATGTTTTTTATTAAAAGGCTCTTCCAATAAGATTAACTCTGAATAATTGATGATAAGAGTAACACAGTAATCTCCTAAATGTGATATATATTATTATACATAATATGATGCAGCAGATGGCTTCATTGAGTATTTTTTTTTTTGAAGCTCACATGAATGATAAATGAAGTACTGTAATATCTAATGCTGTTATTTTTAACAAAAAATATTTTTAACATAAAATATTATGTTAAAAATAACATAATAAAAAATGCATGTCTTCCAAATAACACAAGAGATTGTGGCTTAGGCAAAAATTATATAAAATATTAAAAAAAATAAATGCTTGTCTTCCATGCTGAAGAATACAATTGCTGTGCTCTCCTTATAGCAGGATTGTTTCTTCAGTATTGTTGGGTTTATATTGTCAAAAATAATTACTGCATTAATTTTTGTTACAAAGCAAAAAAATATATTTGAGAGATTTGTGTGGTTTATAAATCAGAATTGACACGAGTCTAGCTGTTCATTTGTATGCAAATAGAATACTTGAGACAAGAAATACTACAATCTTGGTAGGTTTTAATTTTTTTTTATCTAGTGATAAGGACTATATAATTAATGTTCCATGCCATGCCCACAGGTAATGCTCATAACAATGTGAAGAAAAATTACAACAGCTTCCAGGATAGTCTTCCAATATATTATATTTTATAATGAGGATTAAATAAATTACAAATAGTAGTAATATGTGTATCAGACATTCTTCCTGTAGTATCCTCAAAATGTTTAAAAGAGCTTTTTAAATGTGTTTTATGTTCTTGTTTACTTTTCCAGATAATGTAATGTTAAACTGAATCTTAGTCAAATATATGATTGCTGTGCATTTGACACACAACTGTCATCTTATCATCAATATCCTTGTATAGACACTGGCATGTAATTATATGATTAATTAACAATGCTGTTATTGAGTTGTGTGTGCAATTCAATATCCAAGACAAAATATTGGATTGATAAATTGCTAATCTTACCATATCCTAATGAAAACCAGAGTAACCCCAATCTATAATACGGAAGATTTCACTGGTACTGTATTAACAATTATAGACCAATATCACAACTTCTCACATCTTAAATATTTGAGAATCTTGTTAAAACATGTTCTCTCAAGGTTATCTCAAGATAACCTCAAGATGTTATGTACTGTATTTGACTCTTGTCAATATGGTTTCAGACCCCTAAAAAGTACCACCAATGCTATGATAAATATGCATGACTTAATACACTTGGCTCTTGACAAAAATGAGTACCTGATAAGACTACTTGTTGAACTTTGAAAGTCTTTTGACACTGTTAACCATAATAACCTTTCTAATCTGTAACACTGTCTCCTGCTTTCTCTTTGTCAATCCTCCTTTGTGATTGTAGTCGACTCTCGTAGTGCCCTCATGGCTCTGGGGTTCTTTAATCCAGTTCATCCGGTGGTCATCGAGATTCAACATTGGCTGTTTCTTATCTCCAGTAAGTTTAAAGTCAATAAAGTTTTGCTGGGTTCCCAGCCATCTTGGTGTGTCTTTAAATGAGCGTGCGGATGCTGCCATTAAAGAGGTTATCTGCTCTTGTTACATCTCCCGTAAAGGTATCCTTATTCTGACTTTTACCTAGTTATTCATTCCTCCATCCTTGCCCGATGGCAGGGTTGTTGGTCTTCTGTTGCTGGTAACAAACTGCGTACTTTTAAGAATAGTGTTCCTCCATGGCCTTCCTTCTACCACCGTAACCGGCGGTGGGAAATGGCTTAGGCTAGGTTACGTATTGGCCATACACGCTTAACTCATTTAATGGAGCGCCGCCCTGCTCCCTGTTGTCCAAATGTTACAATCGTGCATATCCTTGTTGAATGTCCTGACTTCCAGGATGAGCGTATGTCTTGCTTTTCGACCGTCCCTCGCTTTCACTTGTCCCTCGATAGAATTCTTGGTGAATCGGATACTTTTGATATCGTTCGCCTTATGTGTTTCTGTTCCTGGTATTGGCATTCTTGGTGATATTTAGCGCCCTCTGATTATTCTGCACATTTGATGGTGCTACATAACTTTCCCAGTTTGGTGCCTTCTTTTGAGAATTACTTACTTAATCTGTAACACTGGAGTGAGGGGTGTTACACCCTTCAATACATCCAATCTTACCTCGATGACAGATTTCCGTGAATGACGCTGCTACTCTCGTACTGCCAATTAATATTGATGTGTTCCAATAGATAGCATGCTTTGTCCACTCTTCCTCACATAAATAACCTACCAAATACCATGCAACATTCATTTTCTTAAGTATTGACTCGGTTATTATTACTGAAACAACAAATACCAAACTTAAACAAATCCTGGTACTGTTTACCCAAGAATTAATAAAATTATAAAATTTATCAATATTAAAACAAATTGTTAAATGCTTGCAAAGAACCAGTCTACAGAACAGTATACAGTATAGCTCAACAACTTACAACAGGTTGAATTGTAGAATCAGTTTTAGATTTCAATAACTTTATTTTTAAAGTGATTAATTTTCTATATAAACATTATATATAATGTTGTGTATAAAAACCATGAAATAAAATTTAAACCATTACCTATTGTGAATAAAATCAAGTAACATGCTGTACAGATACCCTAGACTTGATCACAATGATTTAAATTATTAGTGGGTTATTACAGGGGCTTTTAAGATTTTTATAGACCTTCAGGGATATTTACAACAAAACTTGCATGAAAGTTATTAATGTATTAACACAAGAAGAAGCATATGAAACATTTGTTGAATTTCAAAATGGTTGTTACCACACATGGAAAACAGTTGTAATATGCCTGTAATGAGAAATGGGAACATGCAGAAAGGATGAATACCCAAATAAGTGCAAATAATGTTGAGGAAATAATAAAGCACTGAATGTAATAAAACTCCCTTTTCTGGTAGACTCTCAATGGCTCTTGAACTTAATTCTGATTCAACCAAGCTGTAGCCCAACACACCAGGCCTCCGAGATTCATCTGTCACCTACCAGGAGTCAGGACAAGAACATGGCTCGCTCAGTAGGGTGAGGGCAAGCAAGAATCAGAGATCAGCCACAAACTGGAAAAATCTGAAAGCATAGGTGCAACAGAACATGTAATTGCTTGAAGTAAACAACACGCCATCCTAGGTAAGCAAGGTAAATGATTGTTGCTGTGGGGTCAGTACCCAAACTGATGAGCTTGATCATCACCAGATGGGCAGTCCAGGTTAACTAAGGTCTCAGCCAGCCCATCCTTTACTCTGGAGTCGCCCTTTGAAGAAAATCCCATGATAAAAAAGGCAATTGGGCGGGGATGAGGGTGACTGGGGCCTGCCAGAAAAGGTAATTTTATTTCATGCAAAGCATAATTTATGGGATGGACCCCTCAGTAGCTCTCTCACAATGATACCTCAATAGAAAAAACTGGCTTTTCTTAAAACAAAAAAGGTGAGCTGGGCTGACCAATGGGAGAAGAAAAAGCAGGAGAGGACAGCTCGTGGCAGTGCACCAAATACCCAAGAGCAGTACAGTAATACTGCCTGTATATGTAAATACAGTACTCTCAGAATATTTATGAATTCATAGATATTGAGGATGCAAATACAAGAGCAAAAAGACTTATGATGAATAATGTCAAATAAATCAGATTTGCTGAGGACTTTATCGAGGGTCATATGACTTGAAGGAACAGTGGGAATGCAAAATTTCTTTCCTGCAAACACACAACTTGACAGTCACTATTGTTACCTTATTACAAAGCTGTTACATCTTGTTATAAAGGTTATGGTGTGTTAGAAAGTTGTTACAACTTGCTAGATACTTGTTAGGTGTTACAAGTTGTTCAAACATTGTAGCAATGCGGTAGTTTCGTCATGTGTTTGGCGGATAACCATCCTGAAAGTCAGAACATTCTGACGTGGTGTGCAACTTTAAGTGTACACCACTAAAAGTGGTGTACACTTATAATATGCCTATAAATGAGTATAAAAAACAACACTTGTAAGCAAGTGTTGTTTAGTTCTGGCAGCAGGGTGCAGGTCTTTTCCATCAAGTGCCCACAGGTTGCCAAGATGTTTCCCACTTCCTGTATTGGTAGCAGGAGGAAGGCCATTTGAATAAGTCCCAATTCACAGAATATAATTTGTTATTTATAACAGTTATGAATGTCATTCCAGTGGTGTGGATTGCATTTTGGAAAGCATGGATAGCATTTCAGCAGAGCAAACACTAAACTCTGATGGAGGTGGAATGCTAGTGCATATGTAATATGGCTGGCAGAAACACAAGAATAAGGTTCCAGGGTGCCAACACTACTAAACTGAAAGCAAGTGACAGAGGCTCCAAATGTTGGGCCAGTGTCACCAGGGGAAGTGGAGTGGGCAGGCTGGCTAAGACCTCTAGTGAGTCGGTATTTTTCCTGTAGCAACGAAGGTTTGCCATGTTTACCATGTTTACCTAGAGGCGCCTAATTTCTTTCAAGTGGCCGCTTATTTTGCTATGCCTATGCCGCTTGATGGGTTTTCTCCAGTTTTCTCTGATTTCATTCTGCTCTCTCACCTTTGAGTGAGCCAGATTCTGATTCCGGCTTGCGATAGGTAATGGATGGGTTAGAGGCGCCTAGTGTGTGGGACAGAAGTGTGCTGGTGTTAAAGTTTAGCTCATAAAGGCAAGAGATCCCTCCCAGAAAACATCTAAATATGAGCCATTATTTCAGACAAAGTTGTGGCTTAATACATTCCAAGATTCATCATACATATTTGAACCAGTGCAACATCCAAAAATATAGCTTTGTCTTTGAACAGTAGCTTTCTTCACACATCAGCTGTTCCTGCTCTATTAACCAAGGCATAATTTGCAAAGTATAAGGCAGGCAGCAGAAAAAGACAAGTCATATAAGTAAAGGATAGAATATGAGAATGTGGAAACAGCAGAGGTATGATGACAGTGACAAAGTACCATAAAGCAGTCCACCAAGTGATGCAGTGTTAAAGCAACTAAAGTATAGGACTCTAAATGGGATAAAGAGCACCCTTTCACGTCTCCCACAGTAGTGCTCCATGCACTGCTCACTGCTTTATTGTTGCTAATATAAAAAATGGGTAAATAAAATATACTTTGACTTTTTCTATTAATATTAGGCACACAAATACTGCACTAACACAGTGATAAGGATTACACCTGACACACAGATCATGAGAAAATCTATTTTGTACAACTACTCGCTGCAATACCTAACCATTCAAAAATGACACGTCCATCAGGGGATATTAAAGGAGATTTACGAAGAGAGTATTTACAAAGGCTCACATACACAGTATGTATGTTTTATAAGATACAAAGTTTACATATCTGTAGAAGTACCTTAAACTGTATGATACAGTATTCATCATTTAAAACCTGCACAAAGTCGACTCAAATAAAATATACAATCCATTTAACAAAATAAAGATCTTAATTACCCCAAATCTGTTAACGAGTGACTAGCACTTCACCTGTGTCTGCCTCGAAAATGTCCAAACTGAATCACAATTGTTTGCAAATGGATAATACTAATTTAAATTGGTCTTTCAATGTTTAACTTTGTTAACTCAAGAAGTTTATTATTGAGAGTAAATGTTTATACTGTACAGTACTGTGATGATAAGAGCAAGAATATGGTTAAATAATCACTTAGCAGTTGTTACCGTATGTATTCTAAGGTAGAAATGTGTCAGTGTTTATATAATAACTAGCAGGCTCCTACTAGCTTAAGCTCTCTCACATTGTACTGCATATTAATGCTCATACCAAATAATTTAGTTCACAATCTTTATATCCAAATTAACTAAAATTTCAATATTTAACAATTTTACCCTAAAATGCTGCACTCATTGCATATCACCTTAATTTTTTTCACACAATAATATATAAGCTACTATTAGACCATTATAAAGACTTAACAACTCAAACTTCTCATCCATAGGCTTTGGAAAGTCAAAAGCAATGTTCTTATCAAGTAGTTACAGTATACAGGTATATGCAACAATGTCAACATACTTGGCATACTGACTTTGTAATTGTATTACCTGCTCAAGATTGTTATAACATGAATAAAAGTCATACAAATTTGGATCTGATTAACCTATTTCATGGTTAACAAAATCTTTAGTATTTCACGGTGATTCTAAGGTATCAATGAATAAAATGAATGAGCATGTATAAAACCTTATGTATATCAAAGTAAAACTTACAATTAAATCTCATAAAAGCACATGCATGAGAAGTCAGACATGAATCCTTCATTAACGTCAACTTTTCATATCACCTTCATATGATTAAATATAGTACTTGAAAAAAGCAAGCCATATTTATTGAATTTAAGACATTACAAAATGATGACAGCAGTCAAAATATGTCATAAAGAATACTTTCCTACACAATACTTTAATTCAATTACTGTAACTAAAGAGCTGTCATTATACCATTCTTTTGTTACTAATATTTCAACATTTTAAAGCATTCTGAACTTTCAATATAAATCACACTGGGATTTTTTTAATGACACCAGAACAAATCTTAAAACTTAACAATGCTTCAAAATATCTATTCTTAAAGTTTGCATAATTTTAAATAAAAAATTTTTAAGTACAGAACGGTACTGTTTTTCAGTATCATTGACCTTCCCAAACACATTTTTGTTTAATTCGTTATATCAAGATCTTACATTTTAAATTTACTCTGATCAGTAATTGAGTGAATGGAAATAATACAAAAACTGCACATACCAGGAAAACAAAACTACAAATTATGCCTTGTAAGTGACAACATTCTAGATCCTGAATATCATTTAACTTAAACAATGACGATAGACCAAGCGTAATTAGTATTAAAATTGAAGTGCCGTAGCAGTGGCAAGTTAACGTTGCTAACTGATAGTCTACAAGCCTTTGATCGATACTCAGCACATGCAGCAGGCACACGGCTCGTCATATAACCTTCTTTTAGGCAAGCAGATTAATGGGTACAATATTTTTTTTAAAACTACCACACCGTGATAGGCTTAGATGACTAACAGCTCATGATGTTTCTTGATACTTGGCAACAGTACAGAATATGTAACCTAGCTTGCATGTATGAAAGGAAGTTTGTAAAGGAATATAGGCATAGTTATCTGGCCCCATACTGACAATCCTGGAGCCAAAAATAAAGAAGTATCACTTTGACTTTCTTTCCAGTATTGAATGCAACTGCATATGATTTCCAATAATTAAAGTATTGAATAAAATAAAAATAATGATGATAATTCATCACATCACCTGTTTACTTACATGCTATTTTGGACATGAGAAAGGTTTCTAGAAAATTTGCATTGAATTTTGTCATTTGTATATAAAGCCATATACTGTACTGCAAAAGGGCGGACAATGATACTACTACAATGTAGTGGAGATGGGCAAATTCACAAAATATATAAGGCAGTAGTTAATACATCTCAACTCAATGTTAAAGACTAATGTTACTTACACAGTAATTTCTAAAATTAGGAAATAGGTACAAGCACAATTTATGCTATCAAGTCAGCTATATAATGAGCAGTGTAAGGAAAACTGTTAGTTTAAATAATATGACAGTGATAAGTTCATTTATAATACTGACTTCAATAAATAGATAATCCATCATTATAAAAATCTGCAATTTTGTATTTACCTTATGTCTATATATATATAGTATCTTAAAATGATGAAGGAGGGTTGTGAAAAGTAATTTCAGAAAACCCAGATTAAAATATCTTACAAGATAGCCCAGTACCCTTTGAAGTAACACATTGTGAAATATTATGAAACCTAAGTCCAACACTGTACACACACACTGACCAAGCACATCTCTCATGTTACCATTCACATGCCAAGTTAAATATTATATTTACAATTAAACATTCTAAAAAAGACAAATGTCTGCTTTTCCAAACAAGTACAATATTTTTAGTTACTTCAGCCTGGAAATTTTGTACTCAGTACTGTATTCCAAAAACAAATTACTGTAAGGATACAGTACATGTAAATTTTTATGCTGAGGCCAGGTACTGGAGCCAGGTTTCCCAAAAACACGATACACCAATGAATATACTTTTGGGTGGCACATGGTGGCGACAATGTCCCTCCCACTCAGCCCAGGTAGAAGCCTGGATCATTCTCACTTGCAAGTCAGCGGGTGAGGATACTAACCACTATACCACATGGAGCTGCAGCTAACATGTATCAAGGCAACCATTTTGTAAAATAGCAGAAAACTTGTTCCTTTCACAGTATTGATCTTTTAAAAACATTATTAGTTTGCATGGTGATGGCACATCCAACATGTATATAAAGTCTTAATCCAAGTTGCTCGGTCTTTCAAACTATGATATGAAAGACACACACACACATACACACACACATTTGAGCAAGAGTTTGCAAGTGCCATCCTGCTTGATTTTGGACAAGTATAAAATATTTATCAAAAATTTTAGTACTGTGTCTGATATTGCCAAACAATAAGTAAGAGGAAATGGAACACTGGAAAAACCCACTAACTACTATCTTGTGAAGTGCTCATTATAAATGTGAAGAAAAATAATAATTTATTCATAAAGTGTCAAAACTTTTCTTTAATACCTGTATTATTGTCCTTATCCATTTACATGTGCATTTTATAAAGTCTGAATGTTAAAGAACAACAAATAAAGTACCTGACAAAATGCCTTGGCATTCACATATAATTTAGTGATGAATAAAATGTTGCAATAAATTTTGCAAAACACTCTTATGTTGAACATCTTTCACTGCAAAGAAATTCTGACTTTACTTGAAGAGAGACACGTGGAGAGTTATACCAACAGTAATGCTGCACTAGCACCCTTTATTCTACCCAAATTTTGTGCATACTGTATTTAAAATGTTGAAATATTAATCTATATATTAGGATGTACTGTATCTATGTTCTCTTACACTTTTACCAAATCATATGATTCAAAAAATATTTGTAGGGAAGTGTGCTATTAACATTGAATTGTAAACAAAAAAATGATGACAAGTAGATTAAAGCAGACAAAGTACTGTACCAGCTATGTATTTTAGGTTCGAACCCTCATCACGGCCCTTGTGAATTTGTTCATTAAAGTACCGTACTCGTCAGTCTCTCTTGCCTTTGGTCCTTTGGCATCTTGAGAGATGAGATCTTGAGATGATTTCGGGGTTTAGTGTCCCCGCGGCCCGGTCCTCGACCAGGCCTCCACCCCCAGGAAGCAGCCCGTAGCAGCTGTCTAACTCCCAGGTACCTATTTACTGTTAGGTAACAGGGGCATCAGGGTGAAAGAAACATTTTGCCCATTTGTCTCCGCCTCCACCGGGAATCGAACCCGGAACCTCAGGACTACGAATCCGAAGCGCTGTCGACCCAGCTGTCAGGTGCATGATGGTACACATTTCATTAGCTCAATAATACCTGTATAAATGCAAATAACTAAGACATGGTACATGGATGGAGGCTCAAAGTGTTGGATCACCAGTGAGTCTTTATGACACTTCAAGCTTGGTCATAGCAATGAGGGGTAGAAGCAATAAATAGGATTAAAAATAACCTTTTCAAAATTAAATATACTACCTTCAGAATTGCTACGCAAGATTTTCCAGTACTGTATTTTTTTTAACACTTTTATCCAATTAAATGCAGATATATTTGAATATAACTTTAAATACACTAAGGATGCATACCAGTTATATTATGAAGATATAAATTCAGATTTAGACATGTATAAATTTTGACATTAATTTGTAATAAATAAATTAATTTGTAATAAATGTATAAATTTGACATTATTTATATATTATAAATAATCTATAATAAAAAAGATAATAATTACACTTCCTATTTGATGAAAAGTTTTTCTTCAAGAAAGCTGATTTAAGAGACCATTTTCATTGATATATTAAAAGGCGACTATTAATCAATGCATATATATACATATATACAATATTTGTTATTACCTGACAATTTTCTTATTACTATACAGTATATAGATTGCAATCTTCTCACTGGTTTTGTAGCTGAATAACTAGCTTTGTCTCTTGTGTTATAATTATGATACAAATATACAATCACCGGGATGGTTCACATTTCTCACCACTAGATACTTAAATCAAGAAATTAAAGAATTCTATCACATTAACTCTCCATAGATATGCTTCATACAGTACATCAACATGAAAAAACTCTGAATAATATGGCTGATACACATGTAATTCATGCCATTTCTCACCTAAATTTGTACCCAAAATGGAGCACAATACTGATCAATCAAAACCGTATTCCTTACAAATCACTTGTCATACCATCAGATAGAACTACCATCTGTCCCCACTAAAGTGTTGATACATTACATGATGATATTTTCTGTCAGTTTGCCAACATACAACATTCACAAATTTTACTTTGTAATTGAACCTCACCAAAGATTACTTATACAACACTACTTTGATAGGTTAATATTAGTAAGATGTATTAACTGACTCCCAGTTCTTTGTAAGGGAATTAAGTATACTGCTGTTTTGCTGGCAAAATTTATACTGGTACAGTGTACTTAAATGTAATTACGTAAGCGTAGTTACAGGATGAGAACTACGCTCATGGTGTTCCATCTTCTCAGTACTCTGTCATATAACGCTTTGAAACTACTGATGGTTTAAGCCTCCACCATCCCACTTAACTTGTTCCAACCATCTACCACTCTGCATAAGAAAACTTTCCAGTATTTTTTTGGCAACTTTGTTTCTTTAGCTTGAATTCGTCCTCTTGTTCTTGAAGTTGTTGGTTTCAGGAATTTCTCTTTGTCAATTTGGCAAAGAATTTATGTTAATATTTTGTAATCAGAAGTTCAGTTCCAGAAGTCATATTTGTAATATGCCTTTGCACCTTTTGCAGTTTATTTATGTGCTTTTTGAGATATGGGCACCATACAACTGCTGCATATTCCAATTTTAGTCTCACAAAAGTCATGAACAGTTTCACTAGTATTTCACCATCCATATAATTAAAAGCAAGTCTGAAGTTGGAAAGTGATGCATGCACTCCTCTCGAAATCTTCTTTTGTGTAAGAACATAAAACCCCAACCAGCATAATCTGTTGGTTGGGGTAGGTCTCTGTCAGTCTTATTCCCAGAACCATGCGCTTCCTTTAGCCGATGCCTCTTCTTCTCGACATTGCATTAGGTGTCTTTACTCAAGCTCTTTGACCATATCATCTCTTTTTAAAGTGCTGTGGGAGGCTGTCTGGTCCATTTTAGCAACTGTGGGTCCCACAAATAGAGGGCTTAACGGGCAGTTCCCAGGGTCTCTGGTCCACCACTCCTGTTAGGTTTAGGGTTGTTGGGCCAGGAGTCCTCCCTTCAGATGCATGCAGTTACTGCAATGTAACTAGACCCAGGTGATGTAAAGTTTACCCCTTTCTTCATTGAGTGTCCCAGTTGTTCCCAATCTCCAAGTGAGACTTGATGGACCTATGGTACAGTCTCAATCCTGGACAGGGATTGAATAGCTTCAGTCCCTGTCCAACTTTTCAATATGACTACTTTAGCTAAAGTTTACCTGGTGCTGCAGGTGTATTCTTAGGTGGTGTCCCTAGACTTAAAGAATGTGTACTGGCATGTTCCTATTTACCAGAATTTTTGGGAATGGCTAGGATTTCTAGTGGGACATCTGCTTTACCACTTCAAGGGTCTTATCAGGTTAGTGCGGGGTAATTGTGATCGGCTACATCTCTTCGGAGCATTTCTTGGCCCATCTCGACGGCTGGCTGGTTTTATTTCTCAGCCAGTCCAATGTATCAGCTTGCCAGGGATCTGGTTCTTTCCCAGCTTGCTCAGTTTGGGTTGAAGGAGAAGTGGTGGAAATCCCAGTTAGTTCTGTCTCAGGCTAGGACCTGATTAGGCCTAGTTTGGGATTTGCAGTTGGCATATCTTTTCCTACCTCTCTTGTCCACCCCAAGTGGTTGGGATGAATGGTAGAGCAACTGTCTCACTTCATGCAAGTCGATATTCAACCCCTGACTGCCCAAGTGGCTGGGCACCATTCCTTCCCCCAATCTCATCCCAAATCCATATCCTGATCCCTTCCAAGTGCTATGTAGCCATAGGGGCTTGGCACTTTCTTTTGATATTTCCTTACCTCCCTTTCCTTGGCTCTGTTCAGCATGCAGCAGCGTCACTGTCTGGTGTTGGATTGGCTCCTGGTGACTCATCTGTGGGTCAAACGATTGTGTGGGAGCCTGAACTTTGCATGGCATTTTTCCAGGGCAGGATTTGGCTCCAGGTGCTGTATTAGTTCTTCCAGTTCTACCCATTTCAACACTGTTGGGATTGTCAGATTCAGGCCGCATCTGCCTATCATCGGCTCGTTTCGCTAGCTTCCTCTTCTGGCTTTTCAGGGTTTGGTTCCATGGCACTAATCTTCCCCAACACCTCGGCTCTGGGTAGGGGGGCTTTATGACCAGCACTCATCATTCCTCCCAGGGTCAGTAGTCAGGTCCACTCTGTTACACACAGCATGGTGAGTGAGTTTGCAGTACTGTGATAGGTCCTTCGGAGGATTCATTCTGTGAAGCACAGAGGGTCAATTTTGGTCCTTTACCCTTTGGAGCTGGATACTTTGTGTAGCTCGACTTCTGAATTCCTGGAGTTTGGTAGCCTGTGCAGCTCACGTGAGGAATGTATCCAACATTCTCAACAACGGTGTATCTCGTTTCCGTCCCATTTCCACGAAGTGGACAATGACACATCCTCCAATTCGCTTTGAGAGACTTTCGGTCACCTCAAGGTGACTCTCTTTGCACTGGCATGGAACTGATGGCTTCCCTATGTGGCTACATTCCATGATCGTGAGGTTCTTGTGGTGGATGCCTCTCCTGGATTTTTCTAGATGGGGTTTCACCATCTCTTTCCCTCAGTTCAGTTGTTGCTCTGGGTGTTGTCAACAATGGAGATGTACTCGGTCAAGGTGATCTTTTTGGCTCCTTTGTGGATGACTTGGCTTTGGTTTCTAGCTCTTCTGGTCCAGTGTCATAACCCAGGTGTTTTTCTTAGGCTCTACTTCTTTCACCAGATTGGCCTGTGACATACTTAGCTGGTTCAACTTTCTCTGCTGATCTATATATCAGAGTTTCTGACATGAGTTTACTACCATTTGTATGGTGCACAGGTGGTTGAATTGCTGGTGTTCCTCCTGCATCTTTTGTCACAGAAACAGTATGAAGATTCCTGGTGCTTTTTTTTTGCCTCTTACTCTCTTTGTTGCCTTTCTTCTGTATCATCTGTTTTGTTCTTCCTGTCCTGGTGGTTTGTTGATTGACATCTCGTGCCTAATACTGACACCTCTTATGACTGCTCTGGTGGAGCATTTTTTTCAGTGCTCAGCGTTCATACTTCCTTGGTGTCATTTTGCAAGATGTCTTGTGCTTTCTTTCACCTCCAGCTAGCTTATGCTCTCCGAGCCGTAATGGTCTCATGATAGGGTGTTGGTGTTTGAAGTTGCCACCTCTCCTCCACGCTGTTAAGTCCCATGTTTTTTCCTTCTCTATTGTTAAGATAGCTTCAGAGAGCCATTGGGTTCCCCTCAGAAAACCAGTGTCGAATGTAATGAAATACCTCTTTCTTGTGGCTCCCCGACTCCCTTATCTCTCCCCCCTACCTGGTATGTTGTTTCATGGTCTACCATCTCCAGACTTACTAGATAACTGGCCGAAAGGCAGAGGTTCCCAAGACGCCACCTATAGGCGGCTTTAATTTGAGTGCTTCATTATTTGAACCTTGCAGTTGTTTGTTTTGATTCGCTTACATTCTGGATATTTTCTCATTGTAGATTATTGTAATAATTCCCAGCTCTCTAGACCTCTATGACGGGGCCAGGCTCTGGCTTTGGTAGGCCAACAGGACACCTATAGCTGATGTGACTTAGTATGGGAAGCTATCTCAGAGAGATAACTTAAGGGAACCACCAGGACTACCAGAAAAAGGCAGTTCATTACAGTCGATCCTAGTTTATCTGTTTTAAAGCTTGAAAAATGGTATCAGAGCTAATGAAATTGAATGCAAAACAATAAATCACTACTCATACCAAGAGGTCACTTTTGCTGTCAAATGTCAGCATAGCCAAATATTTAACTTTTTTTCCATAAACTCAAAGACGTACTCTTTTCAAGTAAGAAATAGTTCTACAATATTAATTCTTTAAGTAATAGTGGTCAGTGCTTAATTTTATGTACATCAATGCAAATTATATTTTTTTTTTTATAGCATATTGACTTATGGAGGTCAACTTACATTTATTTAACTGCAATGATATGAGCTTGCCACCCAAAGCCATATTTTCTAACTTTTCTCAAGTCTTATTTTTGCCGATTCTTCTCTTTATGCATGCCCATGCTGCGTGTTCTTCAATTTGCTAGATAAAAGAAGCAACTAGCATGCAAATAATAGCCAATCTGAACTCTTATGATTTATATTCTGTACGCTGTGCTATTATCCTGTTGTGTATTTGATACTCCGTTCCAAACTTTGACAAGCCTCCGCAAAGACCTCCACCTGTCCTCAGCACTGGTGGAGTTCTCAAGAACTCCACCAGTAGCAAGTCCTCTGAGTAGGTGGAATAAATTACCCCACTAACAGAAGTATCAAAACATGACAGGATAATGACAGGCTTGATTACCATGCTGAAATATTCTACACTCCAAGAATGTGATTGTACTCAAAGTAAAGCATCTTTGAGGCTCCTTAAGACATACCATTGATAACCTTCAAGATGCAAGTTGGTGGCTGTCAGCACTGTTTTTAACTCGCTGTAATTTTGGCATTCTAATAATCACAGATGGAATATGCAGGTGATGAGTCACAATAACGTGGCTAAATTATGTTGTCCAGACCACACACTAGAAGGTGAAGGGACGACAACGTTTCGGTCCGTCCTGGACCATTCTCAAGTTGATTGTCTTGAGAATGATCCAGGATGGACCGAAACGTCGTCGTCCCTTCACCTTCTAGTGTGTGGTCTGGTCAACACAGATGGAATATAAAATTATTTTAGAGACAAACAAACTGCTATTGATAAAACCATTACAAAACCTTAGCATAGTATATAAAGTGAATATAAATAACATTTCCTAAAAAAATTGATAAAATTCATCATTGCAAAATGTGTATGCATCAACGTGTCAAACTGACATTGTTTTTAAGTTAAAAGATCTTCTGCACTAACAATGCTAATTAAATTTTTGCTTAGCAAGATTAATGTTATTTTCTACAGTACATTCATAATAGTGCTAAGAAAATTTAACCTTGTTGATAAATATAAATAAAGGCAAATTTGTTTAGTACTGTATATTAGGGCGCAAAAAGAGCGAATCGGATTATGAAGATTTTACTGAAAATTAGCCTGGCAGTGTTTAGGACATTAATAATACAATTTGTATAATTGTACAAATACCAGCATGCTTGAGAAATTTCAGTCTCCCCAGCTTTATACGTACAAAATGGTGAACTGGGCATGGGAACAGTAACATTATAATATACTGTATATGAATATATTAACCCTCAATATTTTAACCTGAAATTTCACACTATAAATTTTTTTTTGTTATTAGACACTTTATAGAAAAACTTAAAAGACCTTCTAACTACACAATAACTTAAAATCATCAGTTTAAATCATAATTTTATTATGAAAAACATAATAAAACTGAAACCACTGAATAAAAAGGGTGTTTAATATAAACTGCATAAATCAGATCTTCAGTACATTAAGACTGCATAGTAAATGAATGACAAGCAAAGTGGTGCTCATCTTCGTAACATCCAATATAAGATTTGTGTACAGCTTTCTATTACAACTACATTTGCACTGGAATCTGAAACTTAATATTAACACACTACATGTGAAGGCTTGGTTCCATTGACTCTGATGTGGGAAGAGTAGCATGAGGGTATGTGTAAGAAAGAGCTGCAGGATGAGGAGCCCCTTGACTCATCTCAAGTCGTCGCAAGTAAGTGGGATCAGCAGCTGCCATGTGGTGTGGTAAGTATGCCTGACTAACGTGTGGTGGCATGACTGAGGGGTATGAGTACTCTTGGGGCAAGTATTGCGTAGCACTTGGAAGTTCAGCCTTAACTAAATTTTCATGAGATAACTTAAAACTCTTGTCGGAGATGGTTGCCGGAGAGGAGGATGAAGACGGAATGCTTGGGGTTGCTGCTGGTGTTGGGGTGGCAGAATTAGATACTTGAGGCTGCTCACTTAATCTTGGGGCTGATTTATCTTGTCTACTAAAATATGAAGTATCACCATCTCTTTTCCCATCCTTTTCAGTCGTTTGTTGAGCCTGTCCGGGAGAAGTGTATGACGTTCGACGAGATTCTTTAGAAGGTGCCTTCTCAACAGTGACATTGGGAGTTACCATTGGAGGACCTTTGTCCTTCTCCCTATCTGATTTTTCAATTGATACTAAAGCTCTAGGGGATTCAGAAAACCGGCTTCTGCGTCGCTGAGCCCCATTGCGTTTCCCAGGCCCTCCAAATTTTTCTTGGCTACGATATATACGTGATTCAGTGTTCAATTTTCTCCGGATTGCATTTCTTACTTGCTTTTCATCTATAGTAGGAAAATTCCGGATAGCATCATCTGCAGAAAGAAATTACAAGAAGGAAACTAAGTTTTCACATTTAGCAATTGAAAACATTTAAATTGTCTGGATAAAAGTTATAGACTAACTCTACAAGCAAAAATCCAGCGTTGAATGTAATGAAACCCCATTTTCTGGGCGAGACCTGGAGGCTCCCCGGAGCTATCCAGGCTGAATGGACATAACTTTCTGGCATCAGTCAATGTGCATGGAGTTCTTGCCTACCGGGGACAAGTCATAACCCCCCCACGCCCATGATCACAAGCCAGAACCTGCCCCCTCTCAGAGAGGCACAACCCCCGGTGTGGTTGGGAGCATTCTATGTCTGCTATCGATCGGGTCTGACACCCAGAAAGCTAGGTGTCCCAAAACAAACCCCTATTCTGGTGAAACTAATGCTACTGAAAGCCGAACGAGTGGACAGAACTCCCCAAACGAAAATTAGTAAACAAGCATAACGTCATCACGTCGTTGTTGTCTGCGCAACCCCCCATCCCTGGGAGGGGGAAGGGGGAGCCCCAGATCCTCTGCACCGGCGATCCAACCAGCAGTTCTTAGGCTGGATGTCAAAATATGCGAAAAACACCGCCGACCGGAGGGAAGGAGGGATGCCGGGGAGCCTCCGGGTCTCACACAGAAAATGGTGTTTCATTACATTCAATGCTGATTTTCTGGGGAAGGGGGGAAGCCTCCTTGGCTCCCCGGAGCTACCTCACCAAAGATAAGGAAAAGAGGGAAGGACTTGGGAGGCAGATGCCACGCACCCTAACACAAAAACAAAACAACAGGCCAAACCAAAGGGCCCTGCAGACGACCCACGAGACCCGAACCCCGGAACATGAACGAAGGAAGGAAGGGAAAACCGGGCAAACAAAAGTGCACCCACGGCCACTGAGGCCAAGACGCACAGACAACAGTGAAGAGCCGCAACCGAACACAACACATGATGCACCCCCCAGCCTGACCAACCAATCATCCACCCAAGGACCCCTCTGGAAAACAGCAGACCCAAACATCACCAGAAAAGAATGAGACTGCAGCAAACGAACAAACCAACCACCAGGATTAAACAAGCAGAAAAAACTCATCCACCGGAGGAGAGCTGGAAACAACCCCAACTCGACCCCCAGAGGCCAACGCCAACAGGAAAACGAGACCTGAAAAAACAAACCTGAACCGAAGGGGCCATGATGAACTGAGGAGAAGAAAGAATGTAGAGCACCCGGGCCAACAACCAGGAAGGAACCGGAAGCACACAAGCAGGCTGGAGGTGAAATAACACACAAGACTGCTAGCGGAAGTGAGCAGAAGGGACAACAACACCGAACACAAGCTGGAGCAGCTCCGCCAGCGCCGCCCGATACAAGGTGACAGTATTTGGCACTAGACGACGGTCCTGGAGCAATTCCGAAGGGAAGGACAAGACAACCCTATCAGAGACTGAAGTACACTTACGCAGTGATAGGAAAACTAGAAGGACCGCCAGGAACTACATACTGCCGCAGAGACGAAGCATGCAGGTGGGAGACCAACAACGAAGCCACCAGTGCCCACAAAAGGGACAAGAAACTCGAGACAAAACCCCAGATGCGAAGACAAGCAGGGAAGATAGAACCAGCTGTGTACCGGGCTGGACTGACCCGCAAAAAGAGGGGGAGCTGCGAGAAGACGTACGGACACTGAGCAAAGCAGGGCCCCAACCAAGGCTGGCAAGGAACCAAAAGAAGCGGCCGCCAGGGAACCAGGAACCCAAACTCAGCGAGCCGAGAAAAAACCCACCCGGGGAAGCAGACACGCCCTGTCCGGGAGGAAGGATATCCCCCCCCCACAGGACCCCTGAAAGACTAACAAGGTCGAAAAACAGATGACAACGAGAACAATTTGCTTGCCTAAAGAGCTGAACCGCAGACTCTGCAAACAGCAAGGACAAAGTGGCGACGAAAACTGAAGAGCCAGGGCCCAGGCAGAGGCCCACGAGGAAACGAGCACCAAGAGCCGAATTGTGAGACACGAAATGAAAAACAGCGACCCCGCAATCCGCAGCAGCAGTGCAACCAGCCCCCAGCAGGGAAAAATGACGCACGCGTCTCTGAGTAATATACGAGGAGAACTGCACAGGACGCGTACTGCACTAAAACAAAAATGCACGTTCTGGAAAAGGAACACAAAGAAAAAGAAGTTTAAGATAAAAACTAAGTACCACCTAATTAACTCAATGTAACCTACCTCACCCCTAAATGTCAACCCATGTCTACGATTTTAAACAATGCTGTTTATTGACCAAATTGTATTTTTGCTTTTTTTCTGCCATGTTTCCACTCCCCCTTTTTTTAATTTTTTTTCTGATTTTTTCTCAACACAATTTATACTTTAATCTAAGTTAGCATTAAGTTTTAGTCTTAGTGTTTTTCCTGCCCGAAACGTTTTGCGTAATAGTTGCTTTAGGCATTGTATGTACTAGCTCTATCTATAAATCCATCAACTTTTGTATTTCACCTTGTATGTATGTACTTTACCTGAATAAATATTTGTATTTGTATTTGTAAAAGGCCGAAGTCAGAACCGTAACCTAGCTTCTCCTGCCCCATTGAAAAAGGAACCGTAGGGGCATGAGTTGTTATCGGAAATCTACAGCCACCTGCAGACAAAGCAACACAGAAGCAGGCAGTGACACACAAGTAGATGAAAGAACTCAGTTCCATAACTGAACACAGGGGCAGTCCAATATCAGGGAATAGAACATGTACATAGTCCAACCAAACACCAACAGCAGTATAGCCAATAAGCAAAAACCAAGATACACAACAATGTGTAGTATGGAGGAAAAGACCCTAAAGATGGTTCAAGCACAGATAGCTAGGGACAAGAGAATACAACGAAAATGACTAACGAAGAAGACCGAGGAGCAATTGGTAATCCAATGTACATGTTCAACCACATATACAGAAAGACTTCAATGTATATAAGGGTGCAGCCAGGCACTGAACGATAGTCAATGAATGAGTATCCAGAGAGCATTGACCGAGTCAATGAATGAGTGTGCAGATAGCATGGACTGAGTCAATGAATGAGTGTCCAGATATTGAGAAAAAATTCAGGCGCCGAAAGACTAAACAAAAGGCACCGAAATTCAGGGCTGCTCCTCACAGGGAATCGAAGAATAAGATCAACGAACATAGTAAGGTCACGTGAAGACGCACGCAAAATGGCCAAGCTACACACACTACAATAATACCAAACACATCCAAAAATTGAGAACCTGCGCCTGACTGACAGGACAGGCCAGACTGAATAATCTCACCTGTAGAGCGTAGACACGACCGTGTCATGACACAGCTGAGCCATGTAATATTCCGGGAGCCTCGCTAGTGGAGTATGTCCAGAGGAGCGAGCACAGGAAGAGAAGAGAAGGTGGAGTGCAGAGGTGGAGGCAGAGCCACTCCGAGCCACCCCACACCCGTAAATAGAGAAAAGAACTAGGTGATTTCCCCATATATAAAACCCAGGAACACTCCCATTATCTAGGGGGCTAGGACTGGATAGAAAAGACAAGCGAGAACGGCGTATAACCCGCAATATAGGACATGGAACACCAACACATGTGTACCCCGCCCATAAACAACACGGACACCCTCGGCCCAGGCGCCTGAGGTCCGAACTGCACCACCCGTCTTACAGGGAGGGTGCCAACAAGGAGTATTGAACGAGTATTAGTAATGTCAAGACAGTACGGAGAGATGAAGTGATTACAAAAGAACGAGAAAGAGAGTCGATAGAAGTACCTGTAGTACGGAAGAGGACAGACGAGTCCAAGAAAGGACTGGAGGGAAGCCTCACTGAAAGTCCACCGACATACCAATAATATTTTAAATATCGAAGCTTTCCGCGAACCTTCGAGAATCCAGAGAACCAGGCACAAAATCACGAAGGCACATATGAGCCCAATGGCAACCGAAACCAAGGGACATGCAGGGATCCCGATACGAGTGGAACATGAGTGTGACATGATATAGAAGAATACATGTCCAAGAGAAAAAGGTTGAAAAAGCGGTGAAAAACACCCACTTGAAGGACGGAACTGACGGACCTGAAGGGACACTGAATCGAACACGGGGAAGGGGCAGACACAAACCAACTCGGAAGCAGAGGGGGAAAGGAAAACCTCACACTTAGGAACTGCAAACCCTGCTCCGAGAGCACAAAAACCCAGGCATGGCAAGCGATACCAAGGTCCCCCAGTCAATCCCTCCCCAGCCCCAGGAACCTTCACAGCAGGCTCGGGGCCAAGCCGTCCCCCCAAAGCCCTAGCCTCACAAGAAAAAGCCGAGGCAGCCGTAAAAACACTTAAGGGAGCCCACTGGACAGATACATATGCCACGGCTGGAGGAACAGGCTCAAATGCCTCCAGCGCCACTCTGGAAGAGGACACCCCTGTGACCGCCCGAGTCTCAACACCAACTAGACCCTGCCTCGACTCCGAAACCCCCAGACATGTCGGAGCCGGAAGCAAGGGGGAAAGGAACCGGATGTACAACAGAAGGGAAAGAACTAGGAGGGCCAGACGGAACCAGAGCCGAGGTGACTCCCACCTCCAAGTCCGGGTCCCTAGGACCAAAACAGGACAGTCTCGGGGCATCCGGGGCCGCAACCAGCCTAGGGCGCTGCATCAACCGAAACCAAGCATGCAACGCAGCAGCTGCCTGCACCCACATACCATATTCAGTAACATGAGTTAACGTACAGACAACAAACGTCTCACGAGTCCAGGTCAAACGAATCATCGACCCAAAAGGCAGCATGGTGGAGGCACCACTGGTGAGTGTCGCCCTGAGACAAGGGAACAGAGCAACCTTCAATCTCGCAAGAAACGAGAGGGGACTCAAGGGTCACATCCATCGGACCACGGGAGCCCCCGTGCGGCTTCTCAGGGCCCTTAGCCTTCTCAGCACACTAAGGGAAGCCCAGGCAGGGTACTGCAAACCGGCGCTCAAGTTTACCAAACGAACTTCTAAAAGCTGAACCCCTGGGACGTGTCCACTCACGGGGCCCTAGCATGGGATACCACCAACACATAGAAGAAACACACACACCAACCCCAACAACTAAGAGGGGGAGGACAAGGCAGACCACCCACCCCCACCAGGCCGGAACAAACAAAAACAAAAGTAAAACCCTGCAAGAGGACAATGTACCCAGGTGGAACAGAGCCAGTCGCTATAATAGGTGATAACTAGCTGTGCAGTACCTCGTGCCCCTACCAGTGACGAAAACTACCTCCTACCCAGAGACAAACAAGGGCAACAAAACCCCAGCCGACTCCAAGGGCGGCCATGTACCTAGCAGTAAAGGACACAGTGGTAGAAGGTAGATCCCAAGGTGACTTGTGGAAGGAGGCCCAAAACCCCAAGGGCAGTACTTACTGGGAACCCTAGGCACATACAGCCCAAGTACCGTGGAATATTTCTCCTGGCTCACACACCACCTGTAGAGACAACCCACACTACAAGGCACAGAACTGAGACTAAGCAGGAGCCAGAGGCACACAACTTCTCCAGAATCGCATCAGCCGAGAACTGCCAGTTGGATCACCGGCGTGGGGGTATCTGGGGCTCCCCCTTCACCCTCCTGGGGAAGGGGGGGGGGGTTGCGCAGATGGCGGCGTGGTGACGTGATGATGTCATGCTTATTTGCTAATTTTCGTTTGGGGAGTTCTGTCCACTCGTTCAGCTTTCGGTAGCAATAGTTTCACCAGAATAGGGGTTTGTTTTGGGAACCTGGTCCGATGGCAGACATAAAATGCTCCCAACCACACGGGGGTTTCTATAGGCCATTGCTCCTCGCGCCTCTCTGTGGGGGGCCAGGTTCTGGCTCATGGTCCCCGGTAGGCAAGAACTCCATGCACATTGATGTCAGAAAGTTATACATATCCAATCAGCCTGGATAGCTCAAAGAAAAATTAATTGGGTATATAAAGTTGGTTAAATAAATACATCACTACAGCATTACAACAACAGATATCAGTGTTGTTGTGTTAACCTGATATCTTGGATAATAAGAGCTCTGTGGACTGACAATTTAGTAATTTACAGAGAAGACATAACCAATACAGGTGCATAAAAAGAGACAAGATTGCTGCTTCAGCAGGTAAATGAAGATGTATATATACAATACTTTGTGTATGTCTTGTGAGAATATGTATGTGATAATAATCAAGCTAGAGAGAGAGAGAGTGATCAAGTTCTGTATGATACGTGTCTAAAGCTTGTGAATATTTGTCGCTCCATGCATGTTCTAAAACATTTATATGACCATGAACAGTTTTATCTCACATTTTACATTGATAAAACATACTTAACTGCTTATACAGGTCCTGAAACCAAGTATGGCTATGTTAGTACACCTAATACTGTATATTTCCCACCTTCAGGAATGAAATCAGCGAGATATTTTCCTCGACACCATTTTGTCTCTTGAAGTGTTAGTTCCCTAGATGGGGTACCCAGCAGCACCTGGGTCCCTCCGCTCCCTCTCATATATCTTCCTTCCTCCCCATCTCTTCTTCCCCCCCTCACTCCCAGAAAATGTAATATTATGAATCACAAAAAGAACTGTTAACTCACTAAGGAAAAACACATTCCTGATTTCTGACCATGAAAATTGCTTGGTGTCACTATAAATACAAATATTTCTTAAAGGGTGGCACCAAAGCCTACCCTGATTGGCCTATGACACTCGCATAATCTCCCCACCGTGTCATCTTGGAAAGTTGGGTAAGACTAACCCCAAGTGTCTGGCTGCCTACTCTGGACAGAGACAAATATTATATTTTCTACATATAGATTAATTAAGCACGTGATACACATTTTCTTAATTTTCTTTTGTAACAAAAGACAAGCACCTACGTGTGATAACTCTGATGATGCATGGGTCAAGCTGATTTTTGTTTGACGGTCCTTTGTCTTTGTTGGCGAAGCATTCGCCCCCTGTGAGAGATGACGATGCTAGAACTTCAATGGGAAAGAAGTATCGCAGAAGGTCGTTGATATACCGATTTGCATTGGTACGTCTGAACTTGAAGTAGTCGCTGGCATGTATTGTCACTCCTCCACCCAAATCAAGCTGAAATGCAAATATTTCTTAATATAGTACTGTACAAACTTCAGACAAGGATTTGCAAGTTTACATAACTTATGAATGATTGAGCAAGTGGTTGTCTATCTGTATCTACAGAGAGAGCAAGAACTAGGTCAAGAGCACAACTCCCTAGCCATTTTACCTGGTGCATTCATACCTCCCAACATTTCATTTCTCTGCTTGCTCTTGATGCTATGAATGGTATTTGCTTCCCCCACTTCTGCCTTGAGCTCATTTCTCTTGCTGACATCCCATACTGCATGTAAATATTGCCTTACAAAAAATAAACAAAAATACTAGTATATAACAAATTATTATAGAAGTATTATTGTCAGACAATAATAATTCAATACCTATGCACAAAATGACCAAAACAGATGTGGAAATATTATCAAGCCACTGCCAGTATAAGGTGGCTCACAGGTCTGCAAAAATTGACCCTCTAAATCCCTCTTCCGATGAGGCTTGAAAAAATTCACACACCCAGATTAGTGGATGGGTAGCAGGGAGACACATTATCTGTAGAAGCTGACAACAGACAGCAAGAAGACGTTCAAAGTGCAGGAGCCATACTCCCAACTCAAAGTTGAAACTCTAGTTTTAGAGATAAATGAAATTGAAGTTATTGACAATGAATAAGGTAGTTCTAATTCATTAATTTACTTGTATGTTTTAATAAACATTGTTTGGCATTCGTACTCGAATATGTGAAAGTTATAGGTCAATATGTGTTGAAATGAAGTCAAGAAAAAATAACCCCCCATAAAACAAAATATAGGAATAATTATAATGATTTAGGGGAGATATATGAATACTTTACGTAAGTGATAAAGCCCCAATCTGGTCCCTAATCATCAAAACAACCTAAAGAGACAGAGAAAATAGTTTGAAATCTGTGAAAAATCACCACCAAAAAAATTCAAAGTCCCAAGTTCAGCCAGTTGTAGGTGATTTATTGGTTGATCAAAGTGCCAAGTTCAGCCAGTTGTAGGAGATTTATTTGTTGATCAAAGTGCCAAGTTCAGCCAGTTGTAGGTGATTTATTGGTTGATCAAAGTGCCAAGTTCAGCCAGTTGTAGGTGATTTATTTGTTGATCAAAGTGCCAAGTTCAGCCAGTTGTTGGTGATTTATTGGTTGATCAAAGTGCCAAGTTCAGCCAGTTGTAGGTGATTTATTTGTTGATCAAAGTGCCAAGTTCAGCCAGTTGTAGGTGATTTATTGGTTGATCAAAGTCCCAAGTTCAGCCAGTTGTAGGTGATTTATTTGTTGACCAATTACATTCCACCTTCACATAGTTAGGGAAGGGTATGCACTCTACACCATGTAAACATTACAACAAAATCACATAATAAACAAAGGAGAGAAAAAACAAAAAATCTCCCCTAAAAAAAATAAATGTGGACATTGGTGAAAGTAAGACATATTAACAATGTATTTATATGATATATAAATGGAGCATAACAACATACTCATTATTATTTGTTTTATGTATTACTCAAAATGCTATAAAGGCACCAGCTGCATATCCACTTTGTGGACACTTCTTACTACTATTCTTCTTCTCTGTGCATCGGACAGGTGCTTGCAGCTCTTTATTACTGCATTATCCCTCAGTTCCAGTTAATAGCAGCTGCTCTCCTTATCAACAAAACGTTCTTCTGTTTAAAAAATTTGTCTAAAATCAATTTCTGAAACTATTGGGATGAAATGCCGCAGAAGCCAATAAGTTGGAGATTTATTTAACATTTATTAGTAATTTTCACATAATTCAAATATTTTTTTGATTCCCAACCCCTTAATATGAACCATGGATGTCGGCCCTGCTGCTCCACGAATCCTAGTAACTTCCAGTAATCCCACTGGTGCACCCCCCTAACACCTGCACAGCAGCCTAGATGTCATCCACTTCAACACTCGAGTCAATTGGCCCATTCTTCCTATACTGGGCCCTAGATTTCTCCTCCTGTGACAATACCTATCGGCACCTGACAGGCCAGTCCCCCAACATGGTAATGACATAGCCAGATGTGCAACAGAGCCTCCTCCCAGATGGGTAGCTTCAGTGCTGCACCCCTACCCAGGGTACACACGATATCAGGCAGGCAATGTGACCACAATACCAAAGCCTCTAGTTTAAGGTACGAGGATTCGTAAACATGCACTGATCAGTTGTTGACTGAATTAGGACAACCACAAACAAGGAATGAGATACCACAGGAGGAAGGACTTTTGAAGGTGAGGACATCCTCTTAGCATCTCACTCTGGGGCAGCATCCATCGGTTCATTCTCCAACAGACGTTTGCCTCTCTGGGACCTGCTATCAACGTCCATGGTGCCCCTGCTCTGGGAGGCGTCATTAGGGAGGTTCCGGCATCTGCCAGGGCTGTGAGAACTTCCTGGGTAACTGCAATGAGCACTCACTGACTCAAAGAAACCAGCTGAATTCAAAGATGAGGTCCCAATGAAGTGAGGAAAGAATGCCCAACCAGGAGCGTTCAATCCGCGTGCCAAGATGGCCGTCCGTCCGCAACTCCTAATCTATCTTGTATACTGCAGCATGTGTTTTTACACATACACAAAAACATTCCCCCTTCCACACACCAGTTCTTGTGCCAGTAATGTTCATCATCTACATAAACAATCTAGCAGAAGGAATACAGAATTATATGAACATCTTTGAAGATAATGCTAAGATACTGGGGAAGACAGGAGACGCAGAATATTGTCATGCCTTTCAAAGTGATCTAGATAAAAATAAGTGCTTGGAGCATCAAGTGGCAAATGAAATTCAATGTGAATAAATGACATGTTATGGAATGTGGAATCAGAGAAAATAGGCAACACACAACTTACAAATTATGTGGAAAGGAATTAAAGAAATCTAATAAAGAACATTGTGAGAGGAGTGTATGCGTTGCTTTCCAACTTCAGACTTCCTTTTAATTATATGGATGGTGAAATATTAAAAAAAAATTGTTCATGACTTTCGTGAGACCAAAATTGGAATATGCAGCAGTTGTATGGTGTCCATATCTCAAGAAGCACACAAATAAACTGGAAAAGGTGCAAAGGCATGCTACAAAATGGCTTCCGGAACTGAAAAACAAGAATTACGGAGTAGAGACTAGAGGAGCGTTAACCATGCTAAAACTAGAAGACAGAAGAAAAAGAGGTGATATGATCACTACATACAAAATACTAACAGGAATCGACCAAATTGACAAAAAAGAATTCCTGAAACCAGCAACTTCACGAACAAGAGGACACTGATTCAAGCTAAGGAAACAAAGGTGCCAAAATAATATTAGAAAGCTTTCTTTTGCAGAGTGGCTGGGACAAGTTATGGCCAAAACTGTCAGAGGTCTTAAAGTATTATATGACAAAGAGTACTGAGAAGACGGGACACTATGAGTGTAGCTCTCATCCTGTAACTACACTTAGGTAATTACACACTGGAGCTATGATAATTGCCTTGGTATATAATAATACACTGATATAAAAAATACCTGGGATGAATAGAGTACTATGAATGTATTTTCATACAAATTTTAACACTTTCGCGCTATCTGGACGCGCCGGCGCGTCCCGTTTCGTCTAACGCTAACGCATAGTGGACATAAAGTTGAGTCCTCTTTTAAAATATTTGTATAAAATTCAATTTCTATCCGATTTACTTTGGGTTTGTTTCAAACTGCGCGCTATGAGGCTCTCTTTCTCACCACTAGGCTGCATGGTACAATAAGTTCATGAAAGGTGTGGATAACTTCGATCAAATGGTATTTTGTCCCAAACGGGTTGCAGGTGGGTGACTTTAGCCGTTTATACTGGTAATGCTTCCCCCATATCATGTATTATATGCATATGTCTGTTTAGGGAATTTTATTCCGATCAATATACAACCAAAAATAACTGTGTGCAACAAGTATAAACTTGACAAACATAACAAAAGTAAAAACATTTCGTGTGTGTTTGACGCTCACTGATATGTTCCAGCGTTGTTTTATATTTGGCGCTATTCTAACTTACGCTTTGTTGATATTTTTTACCTATGGGCACATAGAACATTCTATTGCGAACACATTGACACAAAAATGAATGACGTACATAGAAAATTAATGTCATGAGAGTGAAATAAGTATAAACTTTCAAAGCGCCGTGCGTCGTCCCGTCACCGATACCGGGTAACAATTTCACAACTTCCCACACTCTTGCGGGCGGGCCGCATCATTATTCTACGCTTATATTCATATCACCGTGTTGGGAATTTCATTGCGAGTCCATTGATACCAAAATTAACGCTGTAGAATAAGTGTGGAGGTGATTACAATCCCAAGAGTAAAAACATTTTGTTGCTGATGGGCGCTCACGGCGAGTCATCTTCGTAGTTATTTATTTGGTGCTGGTATCCCTATACGTTTCGTGACTTTTTTTACTGATATTCTTCTAGAGAATTTTATTGCGAACACGTTGGTACCAAAATGAAATACGTAGCATGAGAACTAAGGTCAGAAGAGTAAAAAGAGTATACACATTTTTGTTTTTACGCTTAAGCGATAAAAACGCTGCGCGCACATTCGGTTGGCTGAGTGACCTTTGCGGAAAGCGCGAAAGTGTTAAAATGCTATTAAATGTTTCTCTACACATTAAGCACTTGAAATAATAGTTTCAATACAAGAAATTAGCAGGCATATACTTCTCACCATATCTTCTGACACCCTAGGTAATTCAGGTATAGGTGCTGGAGTTTCTGTGGATTCTTCAGATTTGCTTTTCTTTGGTGTATGAAGTGCTGTATCATCCAGCTCACCATCAGAAAAATTTACAAGTGAAGATTCAGAGTGATCCACTTCATACGGACGTTTACGTTCTGGACTCATCATGACAGAAGGCTCCAAAGCTCCAGTCACCACGGAACGCTCTGAGGGCACAGCAGGAGTATCCGACGCTGCCTCACGTGCAAACATACCCAAGCCACGAATCTATGATGAAAATGCAAACATTTTTTTAAATAAATTATATGATACAATAGAAAGTGATTTCTCTCATTATGAAACCATTCATGGCTGCTATGCTTAATGCTAATAATTCTGTAATTAAGGATTGACTTAGGTTAAAAAAGGATAAAAGGCTATGTTACGACATGTGTGGTCTATGTAATAAAGAAACATTATTACGACCTGTGTGGTTTATGAAATAAAGAAACAAGCTCAATTGAGAGAAAAGCAAAAGTGTGGGAAAGTGTTTTGGCAGCTGGTGAATCCAGAGGGGGAAGAACGCTGCCAGAGTTACGCGTATTGACTTAACCCTTAGACCGCGCAATACATATACGCATAGACGATGGAAATAAGTTTACCAAAACCGCACAATAGACGACCGAGGCTCTAGCGCACGATTTTTAAATGCCCCATGAGGGATAGGGGCAGCTATACTCCAGCCACGACCAATAGTTAACAGACACCACCTAAAAATAAGATCGTGGGCAACATTCCCGGGTGTGAGAGCCTCAGTACTGGGCGACCCACCATGGCTGGTGCATGTAGCATGAGCTCACTGCACCGCTGTTCATCTTGTGACCACAGCATCGCCTAAAAATGTCAATATATGTGCATGCTATTATTTAGCGATGATAGTGTTACAGAAGACCCCTGACTGTGATAAAACTGACCAGGATTTTGATAATAGCAGGATTGTGGTGATATTTAGCGCTGTGCTCCATGGTGGGAGGAGTAATGTTGAGGGAGGGAGGGAGAGAGGTAGTTTCGTCTTCTGACTCTGTGTGTGGTCACCTTTTATTGACTGGACTTACATTACCAGCTTAGTGGTTCACTATGGTGAACACAAATGTAGATACTTATATATAACGTGTGTATAGTGTAATAACAGCAATGGGAGTATGTTGGGAGCAGCCATTTTGGTGAGGGAGGTGCATCATCTGCATGACATGTCATGTTGTTTACTGGTGGCCACTATGGTCTTTAGGCACCATACCAGCTTATTTGTACAGATATGGCGAATAAAACATGTAGATACTTATATAGATGTGTGTATATAGCGTAATAACACCACAAACAGTATTGTTGGAGAAGAAATATTAGTGTGTCTGGCCTTGAACCAGTGAGGGCAGCAACCACCAGCTGACTGTGTGTGTGTAGCTACATCTCTTATTGCCTGAACTCGCCATACAAGCTTAGATGTACAGTTATGGTGAACAAAACATGTAGATACTTATATATAATGTCTGTGTATAGTGAATAAAAGCAAAACCAGTATGGTGGGAGGAGTATGTTGGCGAGCGAGTGGTGGCCACTCTTTGTTGCTTTTTGACTTTCAATACCAACTTAGTGGTTCGTTATGGTGAACAAAACATGCAGATACTTATATATAACCTGTGTATATAGTGTAATAACAACAAAACTATTTGTTTATGGTTTTATGAACATAATAACTGAATCACTAATATGCACACCATAATTTTGAGTACAGCGATGGTTCACACATTTTATTATAAAATATATCACAATACACACTATTGAATAATATTACTGAAAGAAACTAAGAAAAAATCAGTGACATTGAAATAATTAGGTAATAATAATATCTTTGTGGCAACTCCCACCTGACAGCTGGGGCGGAGCAGACTTCGTCTGGCGCCTGCTCTGTCAACACCTTTTTTTTTTGCCAGACTTCCCCGCCCTATTGCGGCCAAAATATGCCACCCAAGATTCCCCCTCCCCCCGTGATCAGGAAACACAAATGAACACTTTTATAAGACGAAAGAATTTTTGGGATTTTTGTTGTTGTTGCGCCTGTGGGTGTTGAAAGCCAACAGGACCTTAGCGGCCTATGGGTTAACTAAGCTACTGAAGACGTGGTAGATGTTGGAATGTATTTAATTATGCATTAGTATATGACCCAACATGTGAACATAGGTGATGTTTAGGTTTTATTTGGCAACTTGGCTGGAAAAGCAGGACAGTTAGGGTACGATACGTTGTTCAGGTTCAATGCTGCCAGGTCCTGGGAAGCGAGAGTCAGTGGGTCTGGGGACATGGTCAGATGTAGTTGCAGCGCTTCTGCCCTTTACATCTTGCAAATTCATTTAAGTCCTGTGCATTCAGTCTGAGCCACCCAGTTCTTATATTCACGTAATAATGTATCTACAGTGAAACCTCGAGTGACGAGCGGCTCCAGTTACGAGCAAGGCACTCGCAGAAAATATATCTCGACTGATGAGCTTTCGCTCGATTAACGAGCGTTCCCTCTGGTTTTCGGACATCTCCAACAACAGTTTTGTTGTTGGTTCGCAAGATGAGTTTTCCACATAACGAGCTCGGTGCCGGAACGGATTAAACTCGTTAATCGAGGCGCCACTGTATATCACTAGGGAATGTTATACTGTGTCAGTTACAAATTAATAGAGTTCCTTGAGAGTATATGTTATCTTGATACAAGTCTGGTGGTGTGTAGCGGAATAAATTCTTATCTGTTGTTGATTTGTCAATAATCCAGTGGGGCTCGATTACATCCCGTCATTCCTCTGGACGACAGAGTACTAACTAGAATTGTGATTTATCACTGGGGGCCGGTCCTTGGGCGAGTCAGGTTGGAGGCATCTTCACCTTGGGAGAGCCCTCCCACAAGTTAGAGGTGAAGATTTGGGTGAGTGCATTAACACCAAGTTAACTCTAAACTGTCATTGGAAATATATCATCAATGATTAACAGGGTATAAAGAGGAAATGGAAGGAAGAGGATATGGAAGAGATGAGAAAGGAAATTGTAAGATAAAAATGTAATTACAGTATTTCACATTTATTAGATTGGGTGTTGCATACCTGTAATCCCTCAGCTGTCTTTAGCAGACCAGAGAGTGACTCTTGTGGAATATGTACCACACCACGATACATAAAGTCAAGCAGTGCCTCCATATCTTCGCTCCGAACATCCTTCATATACACTAGAAAGTGTAAATTTTAATTTTAAAAATAAAAAAATAGTGTATATACTGGAAAAATGCAAAATTCACCTCTTAAACATGAAAGTTAATCATTCACAGTGATGTAAGGTTATACAAATACAGTACACACACATATAAATGTAAACTCCACATACACATATCCCATCACCATTACTTTTCAAAAGAAATACTGTATACCTGTGTGTACATCATTGGTCTCGGTGCAATAGAAGTAACGCTAAGTATCTGCTACTGATATTAAATTCATGAATGATTGTGCCTGAACATTCATGACACTCATAACATGGATTCTGATTGCAAGGAATGGGTGGAACTTTCCTGTAGTGCTCCACACTTGTCCTTTTCATGGTACTGGGCAATACCCCATGTACGTCACTCATGTAGATTACCCTGGCAAGCTTCTCATTCGCTATCCTCTCATGTCCAAACTATGTATAAAGTACTTCTTCTAACCCCTCTCAGCAGCCCACCAAGCACTTCCCCATCACTAATTCTTTACTACAGTACTTATTAATACCATACACATGCTCATGTTTAGCTCTCAGAGGTTAGGAAGATGAGTATACCGTTTTTAGATACTGAATGGAAAGTTACTGAAAGAAAGAGAAAAAGAATTACAGTGGAACCTCGAGTAATGAGCAGCTCCAGTTACGAGTAAGCCACTCGCAGAAAATATGTCTCGACTGACAAGCTTTTGCTCAATTAACGAGCGTTCCCGCTGGTTCTCGGACACCTTCGACAACAGTTTTGTTGTTGTTTCACAAGATGAGTTTTCCACACGATGAGCTCGGTGCCGGAATGGATTAAACTCGTTAATCGAGGCGCCACTGTATTACAAACTTGTAAGGCCTCCCTCCCTACTAATGATACAATACCTATTTTAAATAAACAATGTAAAATATTACTCACCAATAGGATGCTTGCAAGGATTGGTAGTGAACATCTCCTTAAAATATTCACTGCACATTGACAAAACAAACTTATGGGCAGGAAACAACTTGCCATCACATGCAAGTGTAGCATCTATAAGAGATTCCTGCAATAATAAAGTAAAAGTAATTTAGTAACTGTATACCATTTAGCAAAAAATAATTATATTGAAAAGAGGACATTCTACTAGAAAGCTCCAAATTACCCAAATTTAAAATTCCCAAACTATTTCTTTACTGTCCCTTACTTCCACTTTCCAATAAGCGGGTCTCCATAATGGAAGTACTCAGTACAGTGGAACCTCGGTTGACAACTGCCCTTGAAGACAAATTTTTTGGAACACATCAAATTCGCCAAAAAAATTAAACTGGAACACAACGTCTGTTTGTACGCGTATGGGTCGAACGAGCGCGTGGGTGTTGAGGAATTTCCCTACTCAACACTTAAGAAATGGTGTACAACATGGGAAGAAATACAAACTTTTGTTGAAAAGGCTCACCCAAATCAAGCTGTAACAGCTCGTTGTGTTAACCTTTTTAATGACAATGATCTGACAGTTAAAGATTTTTTTTCTCTCTTCAGACAAGTGTTACAACATAAGCAAAAAAAAGTGTCCCTATATAAATTTTTAGTGAGAAAAAACAAGCAGTGAGCCACAAGCAAGTCCCAGCGGTATGCAGGCAAAACTTGCCAGTGTACCCCAGAAAAGTCATCACTGCCTGATGTTATAATGGAAGGGGACACTCCTTCCAAACACTATCACCTCCCGTCCTCCTCACCGTCTTTTATACGCCAACAAGAGTAATCATTCAAGACAAGATAAACATACAGTACTGTATTGTAGTGTTATTCAGTATAAAATGTATTTTTAAATTAATATTTTTGAGGGTGTGGAACAGATTAATTCAATTTACATTATTTCTTATGGGAAAATTTGCTTTGGATGACGAAGTGTCTCTGGGAACGGATTACGATCGTGAACAAAGATACTCTCTATATTCAATTTTCTCCTATTCATCATGTATAACACTTATCAAATGTCTTCCAACACTTTAAATCAATACCTTTTGCAGATGACATCTTTATATATACAAGCTCTAAACTGAATACTCAAAATGGCAGGGTATAAAGTACAGATAATGAATATATAATCCAAATCCACATGAATTTATAATAGGGCGCTTGACAGCCGGGTGGACAGCGCTTCGGATTTGTAGTCCTAAGGTTCTGGGTTCGATCCCTGGTTGAGGCGGAGACAACAAGGCAAAATGTTTCTTTCACCCTGATGCCCCTGTTACCTAGCAGTAAATAGGTACCTGGGAGTTAGACAGCTGCTACGGGCTGCTTCCTGGGGGATGTGTAACAAAAAGGAGGCCTGGTCGAGGACCGGGCCGCGGGGACGCTAAACCCCGAAATCATCTAAAGATAACCTCAAGATAATAACTAACAAACTCACGCTTCACAGAGTTTTTTTTTTTTTTTTGATTGGATGTCGCATTGGACAAATTTGTGATAATCAGGATAGATTAGCATTCCACAGCAGTACAGCAGGGATCTTTTCAAAACATAACTGTCGGGTTATAATAGTCATGGGAAGGGGTAGAGAAAGGAATTGTCTGTAATTAGAGAAAGGCATAAAATTGTAATTACCTAAGTGTAGTTACAGGATGAGATCTATGCTCGTGGTGTCCCACCTTCCTATCATTCTTTGTCTTGTCATTTAATACTTTGAAATAATGTTTGTTTTGTCCTCTACAACCTTCTCACTTTGCTTGTTCCAACCATCTCCCATTCTTTTTCAAAAGTGAATTTTCTTATATTTTTACACCAGCTTTGTTTACTTAGCTTAAATCTATGACCTGTGCTTTAACCACCGCACTACGCAGGGTGCATTAGGGGGCTGGATGGTGTGTAGAGGCTCACCTTCTGGAGCACAGATAAGGCTATTGTAGGTACGTCTTAGGATATAAAACTGCCGCGTGGTCACTTGGGTACGAAATGGAGGCCTGAGGCTTCCAGTGAGCATCAACCATTTTGAAAGAAATTCCCATGATGCCCCACAGGTGGGGAGACTCAGTTTCAATTTAGCAACCATGTTTGATGCATCTACATTGAGCTCATGGTCCCCGGTCGGTCGTGTTGTTGAGAAAACTCTCAGAGATGGGAAATACCGGGCATCTCATTTGATGATGAATATATTAGCGATATCGAAGACTACAGCCTGGAAAAAGAGCTAACACAGGTGTCTGACACTAGTGATATGGACATTGAGGTGGATGATGTGGTGAGTGTGTGCAGTACACAGGTCTTGCCAGCCCTACCTTGCCATCCTAGGTCAACACCAGTGGATTTACCATCACCATCTGTGCAATCTGATGTATCTCTACTAAGTGATAGAATAGGTGACGAGTTGTTTTCTGGGTTCAGACACACAGGCTCAGATACAAGCAGTGTTGATGAACTGAGTGTAATTGGGTATGGAGGTGTTACTAGGCGAGGTTTTGCTGCCCCAGCAACACAGCGAGGCAAGCACCAGCGTGTCACGAGGCCTGAGGACAAAGACAACATTGAGCCCTCGACATCAGGTGTTCATGGTAAGCCTATACTACATAAAACAGCCTCTTCTCCTGCCATACGAAGCTCTAGCACAAGAAGATGGAGCCGTGTTGTTGTGGCACATGCTGGAGGGACTAATGCAGGTGTAGGCCGTGGTGTTGGGGCCCGTGCTTGTGGAGCTCATGCTGGAATAGGCTGTGGTGTTGGGGACGGTGTTGGTGGGGCTCGTGCTGGTGTATGCCGTGGTGTTGGCGCCACGTTGACAAGCACGGGTGTACTTGTGTGGGAAGATTGTGACAATTTTGTCCCACAAATACCAGCACTTGGTAACACCGATGTTGGTGAGACACACTTATTCGCCTACACAGGTGATGATATGGCTGAAATAGATTATTTTATGGCATATTTTGATCAGCCATTCATGCAGCATCTCATTGCAGAGACAAACCGATATGCTGAGCAACTCATTGCCTCTGGAATTTTACCTGCTTCTCGAATGACACATTGGAAAGACACAACTATTGAGGAAATGGATGTGTGTGTATCATGATGAGGCATGTAGAAAAACCATGTGATTCATGATTATTGGAACAAAGGCAGCCTTGTTCCAACCCCCTTGTTCAGCAGGTGCATGTCACATGTTCCTGCTGCTTCTCAGTTGCCTACACTTCGAGAATAATGATAATGAAGACAGACATGACAGACTGGGAAAAGTGCAGAAAATATTCAGTGAATTGAGAGGAAAGTTCTGTGACTATGTACTAGGACAGAATGTCATGATTAATGAATTGCTAGTTCTTTTCAAGGGACGACTAGCACTCAAGTAGTACATACCATCAAAGCGACACAGGTTTGGACTAAAGTTTTTCATGTTATATGACTGTGAAACTGGTATGGTCATTGATATGATATTGTATTCTGGTACAGACGTTTACATACCAGGTAAAGATCCACACTGCTTTTCTGGCAGTGTCGTGAAAACACTCATGGACAAAAGTGTAAAAATTACCTTGCTGTACACAAGCTTGGTTATATGCCAAGTACAAGAATATAACAAGGGTAAATGTGCCTGCGTTGTTTACAAGCACACAAACTTGCAAGTAAAGAAGGGAAGCAAAAATCTGTCTGCATTTGATGCGTTAAGTATAAAGTTCCCTTGCACATACCATTGACTGAAGCAGTCAATGCAGTACTCACACACTTGCACAGTACTAAGTGTGTTTATAGTGTTCTATATAGTCTGTGATGGTGTAGTATAAATAAGTTGTAAATGTAAATAATTGAACATGTAATATTGAAAATACGAACAATGTTTGTGTACACACTTGTGATACATGTAACACAGTTTTTTGTAACAGTACGAATGTTCTAATGTATGATTATTGTAAACATGTTCAATATACATAGGATAAGCCAGAAAAAAATGCATTTGTAATCGTGTGGAAAATTTGAACATAAAAATATTTGCGGCAACTCGCAATTGTTGAATCCGGCGAGTGACCGCCTCCAGGAGTCTTCACCATGGGGAACTACTCAGCCATGATGTCACAGCCCCTTTTCTAGACAACTGCGGCCAAAGTACAGTAACTACATTTGAACATTTTTCTGGGGGGGGGGGAGGGAACCCCTTCAGCTCCCCGGAGCAATCCAGGCTGATATGAATGTATTAGACCCTGGTATCAGTCAATGCACATGGAGTTCTAGGCCTACCAGGGATCACGATCCTGAACCTGGCCCCCGCTCAGAGAGGCATGAGAAGCAATGGCCTATAGAAACCCCCAAGTGGTTGGAAACATTTTATGTCTGCCATCAACCAAGTCAGGCACCCAGAAAGGTAAGTGCCCCAAAACAAACCCCCTATTCTGGTTAAAATATTGCTACCGAGAGCCGACACCGTGTCACTGTCTGTCCCCCCCCCCCCCCCATGAATTATTGGACAGAACTACCCAAATGAAAACGAGCAAACAAGCATGACATCACGTCACCACGCCACTATCTGCGCAACGGCCCCTTGTCCCCGGGAGGGAGAAGGGGGAGCCCCAGACCCCCGTACCGGCTATCCACACCCCAGTTCTATGGCTGATGTGAACTGGCAAGGTTGTGTGCCTCTGGCTCCTGTGTTTTTTCCAGTTCTGTGCCTTGTGGCGTGGTCCTGTCTTCTAGGTGGTGCACGAGCCAAGAGTAATTTCACAAGTACTTGGGCTACATGAGCCTAGGGTCTTCTTCCCTAGATATCCTGTAAGTATTGCCCTTGGGAACCACCTTCCACAAGTCACCTTGGGGTCTACCTTCGCAAGGTCTTTTGCTGCTTGGTGATTGACCGCCCTTGGATTCAGCTGTGGTGTTTCATACACCACTGTTTGCCTCTGGGTATGGGGTAGTTTTGTCACTGGTAGGGGCGCAGGGTGCTGTGCAGCTAGTTTTCACCTCACATACTGGCTGGCTCTGTTTCGCCTGGGCACATTGTCCTCTTGCGGAGTTTTTCTTTTGTTTGATCCAGCCAGCTCGCATTCTATCCTCGTGCCCACGACGATTGTAAGTTTGCTGCGCTGGCTGCCGTCTTCGGTAACATGCCTTGGGTTGACATTTGGGTACGGGGTTTTTGGAGGTCAAACAGGGTCCTGGCTGCTCGCTACCTTGTCAATGTTCCTGGGCCTAGTCGGGCTTGTGTCTCATTGGGTCGGAAGTTGCAGCCAGTTGTCTTGACTTTGCGTTGAGGGGTGATTGCCGACCGCCTCCCGGGAAAGTCCCTCTTGTTTTCGTCTTATGGCAAGTAGCTCCGGGGAGCCGAAGGGGCTCTCCCCAGAAAACCAGTGTTGAATGTACAGTAATGAAATGCCATTTTCAGGGTGAGACCTGGAAGCTCCCCGGCATCCATCCCCTCCCTCCAGTCTGCGTTTTTGTTGTGGTTTTTTACATCCAGCCTCAGAACTGGGGTGTGGATAGCCAGCATGGGGGTCTAGGGCTGCTCCTTTCCCTCCCGGGGAGGAAGGTGGGGGGGAGGGGGTTGCGCAGACAGCGGCACGGTGACGTAGCGACGTCATGCTCGCTTGCTCGTTTTCATTTGGGGAGTTCTGTCCACTAGTTCGGTTCTTCGTAGCAACATTTTAACCAGAATTGGGGTTTGTGGATAGGAGTTTAACAATTTTAAATTGGGGTTTAACAATTTTGGAACGAAAAAAGGATGCAACACAGGTTTGTCATACACATGAAGAGTAACAATAACGTGGCTGAAAACATGTTGACCAAATCACACACTAGAAAGTGAAGAGATGACGACGTTTTGGTCAGTCTTGGACCATTATCAAGTCGATTGTGACAATGGAAACACAATCGACTTGATAATGGTCCAGGATAGACCGAAACATTGTCGTCTCTTCACTTTCTAGTGTGTGGTTTGGGCAACAGGTTTGTCATATTTTATAGCCGTGCAGTGCAATGGTTAAGTAACAGGTCTCAAAAATTCTTTGTTATTAATTTTATTGATTCCCATCACTATTTTGTATGTAGTGATCACATCACCTATTTTTCTTCTATCTTCTAGCTTTGGCATATTTAATGCCTCTAATCTCTCCTCGTAGCTTTTGACTTTCAGTTCCAGAAGCTATTTAGTTGCATGTCTTAGCACTTTTTCCAGTTTGTTTATGTGCTTCTTCAGATATGGGCACCATACAATCACTGCACATTCCAACTACACATTCCAAAAGGTCGTGAACAATTTCTTTAGTATTTCACCATCCATGTATTTAAGCAATTCTGAAATTGAAAAGTGTAGCAAAGGCTCATAGGCTCCTGCACAATGTTCTTTATGTGGCTCTCAGGTGACAGTTTTCTATTTGTCACCCTTGATTTAGGGGGTGGCAAAACCACCCCCTAAATCTCATCCTTTATCTGAATTTTGTAAAGCTTTTTCACATAATTTGTAGGTTGTGAATGGAAACTTGTTCACTAGGAACAAGTTTGAAAAGACTGACCACAAGTTCTCCTCCATCAATTGAAACTGATGGAGGTAAATTTACAATTGAAGCAGTAAATTTCCTTCGTAAGTTTTTCACAGAAACCGTCTCGGTGAACTTTCATTAACATGAATTTTAGCCTTAGATTTGTTTCTGCCAATGCCTGCCTCTTGCAGTAGTACATTGCTAAATATTCTGATCTACAGCACATATGTGACTACTCCTGGTAACTCACTCATTTTCACACACCCACCCCTTTCCATCTCATCTTTCCCCCAGCTCTCTCCCTCAGTTTCCTCTCCAGCTTGATCATCTTCATCTTATTTCTTTTACCTCAACTCTCCCCTTTTCTCCTCAACTCTCCGCCTCTTCTGGTTTCACTCCTCTGTTCAGCCTGATGCAGTGCCCCTCTCTCCACTGTTCTGTTTGCATTTTAGTGTGAATGCAATAATAGTCCACAGCAGACAGAAACATTATCACTTTCACCATCTCTGTGCAAGTTTAATATTTATTTGTTCCAGCTGAAAAACTATGACTGTTACTCAAATATTATTAAAGATACTGAGACACATATTCAATTGAGAACGTTTCGGTCTGTCCTGGACCATTCTCAAGTTGATTGTGACTCAAGACAATCGACTCGAGAATGGTCCAGGACGGACTGAAACGTCGTCGTCCCTTCACCTTCTAGTGTGTGGGACGACATACTTTAGCCACATTATTGTGACTCATCGCCTGCATTCAATTGAGAACATGCAAACAAAATGAATTTACAGTTAAAAAACCATCGATGAATATAATGAAACGGCATTTTCTGGAAGAGTCCCGGAGGCTCCTCTGGGACTCAACGTTTGCAGCAGTCTCCTCTTTTTCTGGCGAAGAACGAGATGGTGGCTCTCTGGAGGGGAGCTGGAGGTGCTTTTCCAGCGTTGAATGTGATAAAACGCCATTTTCTGGGCAATTCCCGGAGGTTCCCCAGCAGCCCTCCCTCCCTCCCTCCGGTTGGTAGTTTTCGTGTTTTTGATATTCAGCCTTTGAGCTGGGGTTGAATAGCCGACGTGAGGGGTCTGGGGCTCCCCCTTCCCCCTCTTTGAGAGGGTCGGGGGGGGGGGGGGGGGGGAGCTGCGCAGACATCAGCGTGGCGGCGGTTGTGACGTCATGCTTGTTTGCTTGTTTTAGATTGGGGATTTTTCTTGCCAGTTTGGCTTTAGGTAGCAATTTTGTAACCAGGTGGAGTTTGTTTTGGGATGCCTATCTATCTGGGTGCCTAACCCTGTCGATGGCAGACATGGAATGCTCCCAACCACATAAGGGTTTTTATAAGCCATTGCTCCTCGTGCCTCTCTGAGGGGGAGGGGGGGCCAGGTTCTGGCTCATGGTCCCCAGTAGGCAAGAACTCCATCGAATAGACTGATGCTATGGTCCAATACATACATATCAGCCCAGTATAGCCCCGGGGAGCCGGAAGGGCTCTCCACAGCAATACAGTATGAACATCACACGATATACCTACCTCTTCCCTTAGTGAGTAAAGAAGTTGAGACAATGTCGTAAGGTGATTATTCCACCTTAAAGCTATCATTTCTTCATCCATGTTTGTCCTGAAGAAAAAAATCAGGATAAGCCACTAAATATTATGAACAGTAACTTCAAGATACAGGTAATAAATAAAAATTATTTCCATACTGAACTGAATACTACATTGATTACAATGATTACAATAGGACAATAAAAGCGCGTATTCCAACCCTTTCCACTTGGTGTGTTTGAAAACATTTAGAATAACCTTAAATGTAGTAATTTTCACATGCATTTGTGTAATTACTCAAGTAAAATTTCAGAATGAGAGCTACCTAAACAATGTCCCATTCTCTCTTTAATTTGTCTGTTTGAAAACGTTTGTTATACACCTTTGTTTTCGTAGCTAATTCTATGGCCTCTTGCACTTCATATTACAATCTCTAGCTCCTCCTCATCAATTTTATCGATTCCAATTACAATATTATACATTGTGATCATATCTTACCTCTTTTTCTTTAGTCTAATTTTGGTATATCTAATGTCTCTAACCTCTCCTCATTGCTTATGTTTAGGTCCAGAAGACACTCCTGGATCTAAACAAAGGTGCAAGTTTTTTACACCTTTTTACTTTTTATAAAGGCATTATAGGTATCATATAACTTGCATAATTTAACATGGGGAGATACAGAGAGGAGCCCTACCAGAAATCCTGCACTAGATGTAGTGAAATGCCTTGTTTCAGTGGGTTCCTTATGAATATCTCCATTCTTGCCCTTTCCGTGGTGCACAGGAAGTTTTGTTTGGCCAGTGTGAATGACTGGGGTAACGGCCTAGGAAAATTGGGTCACCGAGGCTGCTATCAGGTGGCAAGAGTGTGGAGCTAACAAGCAATTGGACTAACATCCTTGTTCAAGTGTACATAGTTTGAATCAGGGTTACCAAGCCATTACTTGTTTTGGAATGTTCAACCTTTCTGACGTTTTTTTCTTTGAAAATGTGGTTGGTGTCATATTCCTATTCCTCTATTGATGGGGCCAGATTCTGATGCTGGCCTCCAGATGCTCATAATTCATTAGAGCCAGATGAAGTACCGGGGCCTGGAGAACTCGAGTGGGTAGTTTGGAGAGATACAGAAGCCTTCTCAGAAAAGACTGCAGTGCAGCACTGCATGTGTTACAGAATATTCAAAACGTCTTTGATATAATTCAGGCTGCAAATTTATTAGCATGTGGAATACTATAGTATTATATGTATAGAGCTAGGATTAGTGACTATGACAGGGTTACTTATGAGTGGTACAGCAATTCATGTTTCCATTTATGGGTTGATGTAAATGGAAAAGACCACACCATATAATAGTGAGATACTCCTGTACTGGATATTAAGCCAAAACATCCTTCACAGCATTCCATGCTCCATGAAATTAAACTTTGGCTCAGTCTAAAATATTTACTGGTATAGATTTAATAGAACATTAGAAAAATCTGTTTGTTATTTAGGAAGCACACAGGGAGGGGAGGAGGTAGGAGTGTCGTGTGTTTTAACTAGTAACACTAGGCAGTTACTAGTTTTGTGCATCACTATTTTCCTGGTTTTTATTCTTCTTAAAAATCATGCAGTATTCTTTCCATTCCTGTAAATTGTTGGTCAACAAGATTCAGTATTATTTAATTTTTGTACAGTATATGGAAGGTAGTAGGAAGTACTGTACATACAAAGATTCATTTACACCACCATGCTTCCTGTAAGGTAACAAAGGTACTCACAGGCACCTGCTGTGGAGAGTAGGAAAGAAATTTTTTTTTTTTTAATTTTTATTTACTTACAATAAGATACTGAATAGAGAAATTGTAGGCCTCTTCCTAAAACTTTTCCAAATTTAATCTAACTCCAACTAGTATATCATTGATAAAATCATACTTACTTATCTTGTACACAGTACCCTTCTTAGCAATCCTTTTAGGTCTAATGTCATCAATAGGGTTCTATGGAAAAAGTTACTAAACATGATGGTGATGAAGAAAAGTGGCAAAGTAGATGCCCACAATACAATTTACCTCCTTATTAGATGTCTATCCATCCTTCAAATGTTTCAGATTTGGCCAGTATAACGTCTTGTTGATGACCATATAAGAAAAATTCTTCAGCCTTTCTCTGGGTGACTCAAGATGAAACTAGCTATCCTTCCAGTCAGACACGACAGCTTCAGCCTATGTACAGCCTCCCAGATTCCAGAGTTCATGGGAGCTCCACAGGTGGTAGAGGCCCAGTGATGGAGTATTTGAAGACATAAAAGTAGGCCAATGATGTAAGCCTTGCTGGTACCCTGCAGCTATCCACATGTCCTACCAACCCCACCACAACCTATCCTAGAAGATGAACAGGGATCACACAGACATGAGTCAATTACAGTACTGGTAACTGGTCCTCCATTTCTCCACACTGAACAAGACAAGATAAAGGACTGAGCTACTACACAGTTACTAAGGCCAAAGCATTTTAGCGTGTACAGGAATTGTTAACGTTACCTGATTTACCTGAGGGACACTAACCCTAGTGGCTTCGACAAGGACAGGAAGCCTGCGGCTTATCGAAAGTCCCCTCCACCCCCATTTGCCTTGATCTTTTCCAGGTAGATTTTAAAACCTCAACACAGTTTTGGCATTTACGACTTAGGCAGGTAGGCGGTTCCATGGGTTTACAACTCGTGGGTCAAAAAGCATCTTCCTGTTCTCTGTCCTACATTGAGGCTTGTTGAGCTTGAAACTATTGCTCCTTGTTTGCGTTACATCTGATCTTTTGAAGAAATTGTCAGGATCAACATCCTCTAAATTGTTCAGTATTTTAGACATTTCAATAAGATCTGCACTGTCATGCCTGGTTTACAGTGTTGATAGCCATGTGGCCATCAACCGTTCCTAATACGAGAGATGACTTATCTCTGGAATGACTTTTGTTGCCCGGTGTTGCATGTTCTCCAGAGCAACTGTCCTTTTGAAAACTGCTTTGATACAGTAATCCAAATGGGGGCACACCAGAGATTTATACAGTTGAATCACTACCTTCTTTTCCTTAAAGTCAAAGGTATACTTAATTATTCCAAAGGTTTGGTTAGCATTTCTGACTGCTGCTCCCACCTATTGTGCAACTTTTAGTGAGTAGTGGATTTTAACTCCCAGATCCTTCCTTCATCAATCTGCTGTAATGTAATGTTATTAATTTGGTAGTTGTGGTGTGGGTTGCTACACCTTGCATGCCTCACATGTAAGGTCTTGCATTTGTCAATATTAAAATAGCATTTGCCAGTCTTCTGACCATTTGTGGAGTTAGTTTATTTATTTTTATTTATTTATTTACAAGAAGGTACAATGGGTTTTGAGAGTACATAAATTGGTAGTTTTACATGCTTGCACAGCCATTAACATGCATAAGCCTTTTGGGCAGGTCCTTAATCTATAACAGATCAGGTAAGATGAATAGGTACATTGAAGCAAAATTTTATATCAACATATAACTATAATATCAATTGACAGAGGTGATTACACTGGTAAAGATGTATGTCTTTCGTACAGTACATGAACTCTACATGAAATAAAAGGATGCAGTCTATGGAACTCTCTCCCTAATGAATTAACAAATTGTCCAGGCTGTTCCTTATTCAAAAGTAAAACCAAAAAGTACCCAATTTCATCCTCATAGTTTCCCCACCTTGTGTTTCAAACTTGCACTGTCTTGTGCTACCCACTCCCCCAATACTAGTACTGTAGTACTCTTTGTAAGACTTCAATATCATTTCCCACATTACCATAAAGCTTTATGTCATTTGCAAATATGATGTGGTTTGTAATGTTCTCATCTATGTCACCAATGTATATGACAAAAAAGGATGGACCCAAAATGGACGTATGTGGCACTCCACTTATAACATTTCTCCATTCAAATTTGTTCCCATTTAGCACGAAGCATTGTTTTCTTTCCTGCAACATTGTTTTATCCATTCTAATATATTTCCATTTATTCCATGGGACTGTAATTTCCTTGTCAGTCTTTCATGTGGTACTTTATCAAAGGCTTTAGCAAAATCCACGTATACTATGTATACTACATCCACCGAAAGGCCTTTGTCGAGTAGCTGGTTACCGTTTTAAAAAATGTGAGCAGGTTTGTAAGGCAGGATCTATTTTTAACACTATCGCTTCCGGATAACGGTAATGACGTCCTAAAATAATTACATGCAGTTTTCCCGAGGACAGCAGTTACGTCCAAAATTAAAATATCAGTACAGTATAGTATTTGTAAAAATTCCATTCATTGTCCTATTATTATGCAGTTTGTTTTAAAATGTGCACCAATGTCTTCCCATTCTATGTGACTATACATGGATATACATAATGCTTTTGTGTTATACAAGTACTACACAAGTGATACCAAGAAGCTGGCATTCCCAGTACCACTAAGTAGTCATTTGGTCACTAGTATACTTTGAGTATAAGGATTAGCCTCTCAAAAATGACAACAACATACATGCTGGTGATGAACATGAGGATGACAGCAGTTCTACTAGTGACAATGTTGCAACACCCGGACCATCAGGTGTGAGGTGGCCACTCTTCTTTACCTTTATGTACAATACTTTATCTTATGGTATTGGTAACATATTGTTCTTATATGTAAATATTTCTCTAGCGCATTCTATTGCAAGCAATTTCATACCAAATTAAATGACGTAGCATGAAAATTGAGGCAAGAAAGCTGAAGAGTATAAACATTGCTCAGGCTACCTTGGGGTGCGTGGCGGTCCACCCGTCGGGGACACACGAAAGTGTTAACAAACACATGTTGTGTCGATTGTACAAGATTGTTCACTGAAAGATGGCGAATGATTCACTCCCTGAGCATTCTCTCCATAAGCTTGCAGAGGTGCAATGTCAATCTGATTGGCAAGTAATTTTCTGCTGAGCTCTTGCTGCCTTTTTCGAAAATAGGGGTGACATTTGCACATTTCCAATCTAGGGGTACTTTAACTTGGTCCAGAGACTTTGTGAAAAGTAATTTCAGCAGCAGCCTAGTTTTTCTGCCAGTTCCTTTAGGACTTTTAATTGGATTCCATCCAATTAAATCAGATATATTTTATTCCGTCATCATTATACTGTAACTGTAATTAGTCTTGATGTGCATATTAACATGAAAAAACAAATTATTAAAAATAAATTTATGCTACTGTCAACAATAGAGGCATACAATAACCAAGTTTGGTCTAGTAACAGCAATATACAGTACAAATAAAAAGTCTGAAAATGGTATGGCATTACTTTGCGTTTATATCTGCAGAACAACCAGTCCTGTTATTACTGATACATCTCCATGCCATAACCTAACTTTAGTACTCTACACTGGAAGCTCACTAACGTGAATCTCCAAATAACATTCAAAATCCAGACTGAATTAACACATTGTTAGATTTGGATAGAGCCTGGCTTATGGAGTTTAATGGTCGAATTATGTACCAATGCACAAGGGCCTATATTTACAAATACAGTACAAACATATATTAAAATATTAAGTAGTACAGTAATTACTTCATATTTTATAGTAAGAAATTACCTGTTATTAGAAATGTCCAGTGCAAAAATCAGAAGGACCTGGGCAACTGCAACCCATCCTCCTGCTTAGATAGTACTTTTTGTAACTGTGTGCACCATAGTAAAAACACTGACATACTAAGCAATTAGAGTGTAGAACTTTGTACTATTCACTTTATAGTCTAGAAAGATGCAGCTAAAAAATAAACTTAAATATTCCTAGGCCTCATATAGCACATACTGTATATGTACTATATAGGCCTAGGAAGGTTAGGTTAGTCTTTGCAACATAAGTTGAAAATCATTTTCTAGTTTGTCCAAATTGAATACAGTAGTACCGATTTCTACTTTTTACCCATGTTGTACGTTGGTATATGTACTATGGTCCTCATCCTTCCTATAAGTACTACCAAAACAGGAGGATGGCTTGGCAACTGGTACCCCTTAGACTCTCATCCAAGAGCCTGTGAAACATGGGCACCAGATTGGCTGAAGCTGACACCAGAGTTGCCTATTACAGCTAAATGCACCTGGCAAAGTGCCAAAAGACCCACCAGCTGCTAATAAAACCTGTGAACCTCCCACCTTCGATGAGAAGAGACAACAGGGTATGGAACAAGGAGTGTGATCAAGGAATGCAGAAGAAAACATGTTCAGATGGAGCAACAAACTCTCAGGACCAGGAACTCTAAAAAAAAAAAATCTAAAAAAAAAAAAAAAGGTTAAAGGGCAATCATGGAACTCTTCTAGTAACACCAATGCCTAGTTACCTTCTCACACCCTTGAGGAAGGGCCAAGATGGAGCCTACAACTCCTTTATAACCCAGAACTTTAATAGAGGGAGCAGACAGGGCATCAATCAAGAAAGCCCTTTAATCTTTCTCTCTCTAGAATAGTGGTTCCCAACTTCATTTCCCCACTTTTCCAACCATATTCTATTCTATGGAACCCTAACAACAAAATACAGTACATTGAGCTACTTGAGAAGTGACAGAAGCCATTGCTGTGACAAATACAGTATATAAATTCATGTCACAAGCCCTGCATTGTTATTCTCAGTAAAGCTGCATGCAAATGAGAACAGGAGACATTCAGTCCAACACCTCAAAGTATTTTTAATTTTTAAGAGTATTAACACAATACTATACTTATAATTTGTCCCACAGATCCCTTGGGAACCACTGTTGGCAATCACTATCCTAGAGAATGGATGTTATGGTTTTTAATCTCTCTTCATAAGGAAGGTTTATTATACTC